GATTATTAGCTAAGGGTTGGACATAAAAGTTCAGCGTCATCGCAGGTAAGGAGACCTCTTGATCCTTCAGCCGCTCGTCCACTACAACCTGGATCTGTCAAGCATTGGAATCTGATCAGATTCGGGTGTTGAAAGATGTTGAAAGGATCTGCTTCACTCGTGCACCTGACAGGCCAGCCGGGACGTAGGAGTGAGGCACGGCGCTAAGTCCAGCAAGTCCTGCACCGTCATGGCGATGAAATCACCGAAAACTCTTCGCTTTGTGAACCCAAACTGTGCCAAACCTTCAAGCTCTTCTTTTTTACATTTCGATTCACAGGAAATCCTCAGTTTTTCCCAAACTTCTTGAACAAAATCCAACGTGCTGATACTTCTGCAACCGCGATCAATATCCTCTTCTTTCTCAGTTGGCTCGCCGTACTTGTTGTAGTCGTCCTGCATTCCCCGGGGCCAAACTAATCAAACACACATTTTCTCTTCTGTTAGCAGTACTTTTCAGATTTTCATTCCACAGATTTGGAGTATTTCGATGATCTCCCACACCATGACACTTCGTGGTCCGGAGTCAAAATCACATGGCACGTCGAGCATGCCAAAGATGCTTCGCAAGCACCCTCCAAGTCGACCTGGCCACTGGAAGCATAGCTATGGGAAATATCAGTGACTTGCAATATCTTGCAATCGGGAAAAGAGCCACAAGCACTGTGAGGAGCGTTGGGACCTGGTTTTGATGTGCAGCTTCCAGTACAGTTGTGCCTGATGGCACTGATACCTGCAGGGCGAAGGCTTGCTAGAAACGGCGCTGCAGCAAATCTGGATGGCATGAGAATTTCAAACACGTGGAGTTTGCAGCCGTTGGTAGCTTCGCTCTTATTGAGGCTGCAGTCCGTTCAGAGGAAGTGACCAATAATAGACATACCAAATACATCCAATTACAAACTGATGCTTGTGGGAATATATAAGAATACCATTTATGCAATACCCATCAGCACACCCAGATCATTGCTGCCCCGACCGTCTTGCGTGAGCCATCTCGGAGCTTGAAGTGAAAACCTCAGCTAGGCTCCAGCTTATAGAACGTGTGTGTGACATCCCCTATGGATAAACCGCACAAGTCCACTACACAGAGCTTCAAACATTCAACGGAGTCGGAAACACTTCAGCCATCGGATGTCTTAAAGTGCTGAGGTTTTTACTAATCTGCTCTGCGTTTTCATCGACGACTGCATTGTGGCAAAACATGCAGGAAACTTTGCCTCAACTTGATACTTATAACTTATAGCATTATATTATCACACCGCTAGTTCATACCAAAGTGGGAAAGGTAGGACACCGAAGCGACCTGTGATCTTCATGCAAAAACTCCAAATCTCTTTACACTCAAACTTCCTGCCAGCCTGAGCGATGCCATCGGACCAGGGGCTGAACGCCTGACAGGGATCTTTGAGAATTGAGATGAAAACACACAAATCCGACAAATTCCATAAATTATTCATCATTCTTGCAGAATCGACATGGCTGGATTAAGGCGCCTCGAAAAGCCACGTGCTTTGCAGTGGTGGAATTCAGGAGGCCTCTCAGCTTGCCACAAAACTTCCAGGCTAAGTGATTTGAAGTCCCAAACTCAAACTCAGAACTGATCCGAAACTCCAAAAATCCTGTGTGCCACCATGATCACGTCATATCATGTCACCAGCTGTCCCAGAAAACGGGTCCAAGATTTTGGTGCTCCATTCTGGCTCCATTCTGCCACAAGAGTTGAAGATGAGTAAGCTTGTTCAAATTTGTTCAATGGCTTGTGCGTTGCGTCACTGACATGTCAAACTAAGATGCGGCACGAAGCTTCTGAATTCAAGATTCCTACTTCTTTGAAGCTTTCTCTCATGACTTCTGTGCTCCAATATGTTCTATAGATTCCAATGCTGGTCATCACCGTCCACTCACTGGGATGATTTGCATTCATTTGCATTCATTTGCATTCGATGAGTGCATTTTTCTCCATTTTGATACAGCACTTCGCGGGAGTACCAACTTCTCCAGCCTGTCTGGCGCAGCGATGCTCTACGCAGCGCGGAGATCATCGGATGGACAGCGGTGACAGCGGAGATTTTCTGTCGAAGCAAACCAGAAATTCACAGATTCATTACATAGGCCGCACATTGCGGCACACTGCACATTGTGGCACCCACCTCGACATTGTGAAGAGATCCATGTGTTTGTTTCATTGTCTGAGTCTGAGACTAGTTGGGATTGGCTTGTTTATGCCATGCTATTTATGCTTGTTTCCATCCTTTCAACATGGCACTTTTTTCAGCCAGTATACATCACATTCTCATCACCAGGTCGCTTGATACTCCGGTTGCGCAAGGACACTGTTAAGCGCAGCCAGCATGGCCCATGATGTGGGAACATGGGCTAAAACATTGTGGAATGAATTGGAATGATGTAGTGATGCAGAACGATATAAAAAGGTCCAAAATTCAAAAAACGACCTGTCTTCTGCAGAACTCTATTGGCTGATCCCGAGTTGCACACGTGCAGTGAGCTTGCGATAATCCGAACCATAGTTTCACAATTGGACACACATTGCATACCAAAGTCGGGAAAGATTCTATCCCAATGCCCGCGCCGTAGCAGGATAGTATTGTGGAATTGTTGAAGCATCACGAGGTGGGAAAAATCCAGGGGACCCAGCACAAAGATGCAAGCAGCTGCAATAGCTGTGGTAGCTGTGGCAGCAAAGACACAGGAGCCTCTCAGGAGACTCTCGGGAGACCGAGCTACGCATTTTTTCTTTGCGTTCAGGAGACACGATGTGAGACCAGCTCAAGCAGAATCTCCAAGTCCTTGTGGGCGCCGAGTCATGATGGCACTGGGCAAGTGGGGAAAGAAAGGAAAACGGTAAAAACAGTTGCAGAATTCTGATTTTTCATGTCTTCATTATTCTTTATTCATGTTCATCATGTTCTGTTTCCAACCATGTTGAAAATTGTTGAAACATCTCGTGCCAGCTCGAACCTTCTCCGAGATGTTGAAAGCAGTTGCTGCCTCCTGGAATCCGAAACACGTTGCAACGCCACAGGGCCTGGAACTCCTTTGAACTCCGTTGAACTCCATGGAATCCGTAACACCCGGCCTTCAACCTGGACCTTGCCAAACACCCAAGCAAAACGCAATATTCCGAATCCGAATACAGATTCGCAAGGACGGGCCTCCAAACATGCACCATGTATCCATATGTATCCAATTTATATATTTACCATCCGCATTTCTCAAACATGGGTTTCCTTCATTCGCGACTCCAATGACTTCACGTGTGAGTCATCGAGCTCGAAGAGGCCTGGTGCAGTTCTGTGTGGAAGTTGCACTGTCAAAGGTCGGAGGGTCGACCTTACACTAATTACACTTAGTGCACTCGTTGGATGTGGTTCTGTTGTGTTGCGGTGCTCGGGGTGGCGGACATGAAGGTGGAAAAGTCCCACCAGCAATTTTATTGGAGGAATGCTTCACAAAGCTCTTCATCAAGCGGTCACAGTGACAGGTGAAGTAGCTACATTGAAACCATGCCACATCTCAAAATGTTCGAACTCCCGTGGCACCTGCATCAGAATCATCAGATCTAGATCAAACATGATCAAACATCCGAATTGTGACAAGATGTGACAAACTTTCAAAATCATTGCCGCATCCATCTGGATCCCAGTGATCCGGACCGCGTTGCGCATCCATGCGGTACAGCTGAAGCATCAAAATCACCTTGGTGCGATCTCTGATTTGTAACATATCTACTGATATCTACTGTGATTTGTGAGATTTTGTGAGCTGATGCCAACTATGCTTCCGCAAAAGGTTTTTGTGTAGCCTATCTGAGAAATGGTTTTGATCATTTTGGATCCAGAAATCCAAAGAAAAGCATAGAAAAACAACAGCAGAGTCAGCTGAGTGGCTGCAAGCAGGTCGTAGAGTCGGTGCTTCGTGACCGAAGGCAATGTCTGATGAACTCCCAAACTGGACACCTCGGTGACAAATCGGTGAGAACTGTAAAGCTTGAAAAAAACATAGAAATACCAAGCCTGACCCCAACTATCACTAACTACTCAACTACCCAACTAGGCTCTGCAAGCTCTGTTGATTCTGGAAAGATTCGGGAATCAATGTTAGTGCTGATTTTTGGCAGTGGGCAGGGCAGGAGACATCTTAAAGCTTTGAGTGCGCGAGAAAGCACTGCAGTGCTTTCAGTGTCTGCATCCTCTATGGTTCTGACAAACTCATAGAAACGCGTTGCGAGGAAGGAGAACTCCTGCTGTCATGCACGTAGGCAAAGAAACAGTCATTCAACCCAACCACATTCACATATATAACCTGAATGGATTCAAAGGCATGCATGACTGGGGTTACTAAGCCCTAAGGGACCCTATAGTTCAAAACTTGGGCGCCATGATGCAAACTGATGTTTTCCGTGCTCCATGTAGTCGATAGTCGATAGCAAGAATCTTCTGATTTTATCTGATTTTATCGCCTTGCAGCAGTAGTCCCACTGCAGCTACAACCATGCTACAACCTTCTCTAGCAAACCAGTTTCAAATCAGTTTCAAATCAGTGCAAACCTGGTGTCAAATCGGCCCAGCTCCCCAAACTTGTTGATAACTGCAAGTCAAACGAAAATCCAGTGCATGTGCAAACATCGTCTTTCATTTCTCACTCTGATTCTGAAGCACTCAAGTCTTGTTCAAGCTTTGTTCAAGTCCAAGCCTTGTTTCTTTGTTTCTCATATTTCTCATGCACCTGCTACAGTGCTACAGCACCTGCCCCGGGCAGTCCCCGGGCAACCGTGAAGTGAGCAACTCAGTGAGCAAATCTCGACGGCCCTGGCACAAAACGAAGCGCCCTTCTATGATGGAATCATGGCATGATATGGAAGGTTCTTCAGAGTGAACAAAGATTAAAAAAGATGAATAAAAGTCAACTTCGGCTCACTATCCAGTCTAACAGCATCCACATCAGGACTTCGGACTACTGCGGACTACCCTGGCAACCCTTTCCCTATCTTTTTCCCTATCTTTCCTTTTTTTGTCTTATTTTTTTCTATTTTTTCTGGCCTTGTGGGCAGGTCTTCGATCCTGAGGGACCTCCAGGCTGCCACCTCCGACGGGTCTGATTTGGTATCTTATCACGTCTGCTTTCCAAATGTCTCAATGAGAATCATGAAGAACCCGTTGAACCCAAACAAATGAAACTGTGTCAAGCATGGTGAACACTTATGAATGCTGAGATCTTGATGAACATGGAGGCCAAGGAGATATAAGGAGATTGCAGTGAGGCAGTGAGATGGCTGGGAGATGGCATGAGGTTGTTTGATTTGAGGTGCGACCCAGTGCGACCTCTCAACACCTCCAGTGCCGCTTCAGTCATCCAGGTGTTCAACGTCTGGCAAAACTGAGACATCCATGGACGCTTTGCCAATAGCACAGACTAAGGTAGTTGATTTCATCCAACTCAACTCATTTACATATGAATTCATTATGAAGCGATTTGTTCATTTCATACTCACTATTTCTTCTCAACCAAACAATTCTATCCACGTTACTTGAGATTGTGATCGAGTCTTGTCACTCCTCTTCCATAAGGAACATTCCAAAACTCCTCAAAACATACTTGATTCAACTACTCCTCAAAACATACTTGATTCAACTAGCAAGGAGACGTGATCCGGAGAGAGGTCTGCAGAGTTGGTTTCGACCAGCGAAACCCGAAACCGACTCTGAAGACTTAACTTCCCCAGGACCGATCGAAACCCGAAACCCGAAACCCGAAACCCGAAACCCGAAACCGACTCTGAAGACTTAAGTTCCCCAGGGCCGATCGAAACCCGAAACCCGAAAACCGAAACCCGAAACCGACAGCGAAAGTGGGTTTCAATCGACGAAACCCGAAACCCGAAACCCGAAACCGAAAGTTGGTTTCAAGCGACGAAACCCGAAACCCGAAACCCGAAAACCGAAACCCGAAACCGACAGCGAAAGTGGGTTTCAAGCGACGAAACAATCGACGAAACCCGAAACCCGAAACCCGAAACCGACAGCAAAAGTGGGTTTCAATCGACGAAACCCGAAACCCAAAACGCCAAAACCCGAAACCGACAGCGAAAGTGGGTTTCAATCGACGAAACCCGAAACCCGAAACCCGAAACCGACAGCGAAAGTGGGTTTCAATCGACGAAACCCGAAACCCGAAACCCGAAACCGACTCGAATCCGACTTTTGGGTGGCTCTCCGGATCGGAACTCCTAGCAAGATACCTTGATTCAACGAGCAAGTTGCTTGGCAATTTCCTCTTTGTAACGAAAGGACCCAGGGAACAATGACATGCCAGCAGCTGCATTCCAAACGTGGATCCAAGGGGTAGAACACCTCAGGAGTACGGCACAATAGAAATGGATAAATGAATCATGTGAAAAGATGTGAAAAGATGTGAAAAGATGTGAAAAGATGTGAAAAAATGTGAAAGAGTATCAAAGATCAAACTGGCAAATCCTCTGCTATGGAGGCAATGTTCGAACATCTTCCACAAACGCATGCCAAGCCAGCTCAAATCTGAACATCCTGTGCTGAGTCTGAAACTTACCATCAGGAACCACCTGAAGGGTGACAAAGCATGGATTCAAGGTGGTTCCTGTAGGCAAATTTGAAGGATTCGACTGCAGGCGCTGGGGCCGTTGGGCCGCTGGGTCTGGGCTTTGCAATTCTGTCGATGTTGAAATCTGGATTGCATCTGCATCAGGGCAGCAAACGAAGTAGGAGTGTCGCATAGCGTCGCTGATTGCAACCGCTGATTGCAACAGCTTCTATTCTTAATCGACTCGTTCAATTCATAGATCAGTTGAGCCCGATTTCAAATTATTCAAAACTCTGCTGCTACGATCCTCCCTTTGATGGGGCAGCTGAATGCTGTTGGGAGTTTGCCGTGACAAACACCAGGCTACACAGGGTTAATATCAACACAGAATAGTCACAAAGTCATCTAGAATCCAACGAAGTGTTTGACCCAAACAAATCCATGAGTTCCCTTGAACATCCTTGAACAAACTACGATGCCAAGAGAAGAGATCCACATAGATCCACAATACATTGAGTCCATTTGAGTCCATGCTGAGGATATGGACGTCTGGATCGTAAAGATCACCTTCTCCATCCTGGACTGCTTGGACCGCTTGGACCGCTTGGATGGAACCCCAGGTCCAGAGAGTCCAGACTGGTCCAGGCTTCACAGCCCCAATGGGTTTCCAACGCTGTCGCTAAAGTCTTGCGGTTCAGCTGGTTCGGCCACCTTGGTGAAAAAGAAGAAGCTCCAACATGAAAGCAAAACTCGTTGAAGTAAACTGACGGTGCAAAGTGCAAACTAGCCACAGCCCATGTATCTGCAGAATGAGTTTCCTTTCAAGTGCATTCTATATATTCTATTGCATTCTTGTCTTATCTTGTCTTGCTGTTCTTTGAGTGCAGTGTGAAGTAGCATGCAATATATGCAATTGCGCAGCAATGCCTTTGTTACGGAAAATTCATACTGTTCCCAGCAATGCGATCGAAGGGACCTTGCCATGTTGCTTTGGATGCTCCGGCTGCGCGGCCTCGCGAGCATCCCGTCGTTCGCGAACGGCGCCGATTTCTTTGGGCCGCAGGGGCTCATCCTTCACAGATGGAACGTCGGGCAGTGCTCCGCCACCATCCTTGGCCACAACTTGCCACAACTGGTACTTTTTCGGTCTGATGTGATCTGTCTTTCTTAGGTAAAGGGAATGCCTTGAATGCCAAATGCAAAGCTGGATAAGAGCTTGTGAAGACGAAATCTGAGTGAGGAATGCAGCAAATGAAGATGGGTCTTGGTGGGTAAATGCCCTCAACACAAGACTGGCAATCGGCCTGGATTTGATAGATATGAAATCATACGAACGCAAATGAGGCATTTGACTATCTTGTCCTGCCTTTGCAAACAAACCTCACTGAATTCTGAATTCCGCATCTTGAACCGCCAAAGGCTCGTAGTCGCTGTAATGCATGGAATAGGACTGCCGTTCTCGTGAGAAGCGAACTAAGGTCTTGGGGCGGACCTTGGGTATCTCCTCCAGCAGACAAAAATTGTGGCATGTTTTGGCAGTTTCGCCTTTGACGCATTTGGCTTTCCCTCCATATCTTCACTTCGGAAATGAAACCGACTCCTTCCGCTTTTGGAGACACCTGAGACACTATTTGGAAAGTGGGACGCACCCTTACTGTACCTGTAAGTTTGTGCCACCAACTGTGCAGGTTAGCTTCGGTTCAATTTAAGTCACGAACCAATTGAGATAAATTCTGATTCCAAGTGTGATCGTAGCGGTCAAGCGTGGAGCTTCAAAAGGCATCCCAGACCTTCTGCCATAAAAAACGCATTCACCGGTCCTTCACCTCTTTGGTCTCTTTGGTCTCTTCAATTGGCCTTGGCCAAACAGAATTGCTGCGGTGAATGGAAGTTCTTTTCGTGTTTTGAAGTTGTCGTACTATTCTTCGGTCTAAGTTGGAACCACTTATCCGCCATGATTACTTGCGTTTACAGAGCTAGCGGTGACCAGGAGGAATGTTGGCAACCCCACTGCAGTTTTGAGTGTTAGATGTGTTGGCTGCTTGCAAAGTGACGTTCCTGTTGAGTTCTATGCCGAGCGTCTCAATCTCTTTGACAGGATATCCTGTCCATGGTAGCAATTGATTGGAATCTGCAAGCAACTTCTGCACCGGTGCATATCCACGCACATTCAACATGTCAAAGATCCTGTTCAGACCTTTGGTCTGCAACCTCTTTTGGCATAAACTGGACTTCCCATGACTTCCCATAAATCTCAAGAACTCCTCTTTAGTCTTCTTTTCTACATGTCTCATCACGTCTCATCATGCCTCTCTCTTCACAATTCTTCACAATCACAAGTGGCTTTTGGGGCCTTTGGGCTCTAAACCAGTAGCTTTCCGCGCTGCCAGCACTGCAGAGTTGGGGCGCAAGTAGATGGGCTCTGGCTGAAGTGACGCTCGGAAGCCTTGCCAGCGATTCTCGAGACATCAAAAGCTGCCAGTTGTGCCGCCAAGTCAGGCCGGTTGGGCCGGTTGGGCCGGCCGGTTGGGCCGGTTGAGCCGAGGGGCGAAGGCTTTCCTTGCGACAGCTGGGACCACAGAACTTCCTGAGCTCTGCCGTCTCAATGACCTCAATGAGACCATTTGAAAACCAAGGTGAACCACCACCGGTCTAACACTGGTCACCACTGACCTTTCCATGACCTGTCCGTGACCTTTCCAAATGTCTGTCGAATCTTCTGGAGTTCAGCGGGTTATCTGTCTCAAATACCCTGCCACAATCCTGCAGATTCAACGCAGATTCAACACAGATTCAACCCTCACGAGCCTCTCTGGTGGCGTAGTTCACGGACCAACGCTTTCCTCAGTGCCAACTACGATGATGTCTCCCAGCCGAGAACCTCTGGTTCGTCAACAGCCTGTCTGATGCATCCTTCCGCGTACGCCCGAATGACTTCTTGCGGTTTATCTTCAAAAAGAATTGATTCTGTCAAGGGAAAAGAAATGAAAAGAACATACCTCAAAATCACACATCTTTTGAAGAAATTTCACATCATCCAGCTGTCCGGAAGCTTTCTGGAAGCTGTGTGGAAGTTCATTACCAAGTTTCGTTCCGGCACCTCCAAGACGGCCTCACTGCAGGGTGGATGGCCACAGAGCCCCTCCAGGGAGCGTTCCTCCACCACGGCGTCGTAGTGTTCGACTTGCAGCAGCTGCCGCGCTGCCTTGGCAAAAAATACAGGAAAGAGATGGCTGATGAAAAAATGATAAAGAATGTAGATTGACAGATTGACACTCCGTAAACAAGGAATTCATAGAAATACATAGTTAATACATAGTCAATACATTGTTTTACATTATTTTACCAAAGGCTTTGCAGAAGCTGTAGCCCCAGAAAAGCTTTCAACTGCGCCTCCATGAGACATGGAGCGCTGCCGGCTTTCAGCATTTCTTGTTGCAAGCGCCATAGCTCTTGAGAGTTCCTGGGAGCTGTGGATAATTTTGGATAGCTAGAAGAGCCCATCTAGTACTTCATACTGTTGGAACACCCAATGAAGTATAATGAAGTACTTCGGAAACATGAAGTGACTTAACACACGTCAACTGTTATTGAAACACAACACAGGGCTTTCAACTGTAGCTTGGTTCGTGTATCAGCAGCTACCTGAAGATCTTGAAACCATGTCAGCCGACCCGGACCCACTGACTGGTCATCACCGGCCATCCGCCACGGTTAGCTTGAGCTGTCGAGGCTGTCGAGCTTCAATTGTCTCGCTTCTAGTTCCACTTTGATTTTCTGCCGCCGTGAGCATTTGGCGGCAGGAGACATGGTGCATCAAAACAACGCTGGAGGCGAATATCTTGTTTTAGGTTGAATCAGTTGAAGCAGTTGAATCTGCCCCAAATGATGTGAGTCTTGCTTTCATGGGAAAGCACTCCTGAAGGTGGTACATTATGAAACGTAGTTTAGGTGAAAATGCACTTGATCATATTCTCATCTCCTCAGTTCATCTTGAGGAAATCAGAAGCTGTCTTATGCATCACCTCTGAGACTGCCAAACATCACACATCTTTTCACATCTATACAAATCTAATGATTGTTCTGGGGCTTCCATGGTTTTTGTATCTTGAGCTTTGATACAGATTGCAGCCAGAGCCAAATTTGCAGTCATGGGTAGGCGATGGGAACATGGTACGCTTTTGAAATCCTTTGTGGAATGGTGACTCAGTCAAGACATGTCAAGACCGGAAACACATGGAACACCATGAACAATAATTTCATCATATTTTATCAATGATTCTATCAATGGACAATCTCCACTTTTCTCGCCAGATGGTTTGAGATGGACTCAACTGACTCAACTGACTCAACGGGGGATGGTCATTCCATATCAACATCTATCAACCTAGGATCAGCTACTGGCGTCCTTGGCGTCCTTGGTGTGACTACGGCAAGGTGAATATGAGTGGGCTCAAACACAAGCAGTGAAAAACTCAGCATGTCTATCACGAAATTGAGCTGAGACCAATTGGTAGACACATGGGCATGGTTTACACTTCTTGAAATCACCGCGTCGGAAGTTACCAATGATCAATTGATTTCAATTGATTCACAGCTTGTCATTTTCTGCGCGAGTTCATTGGCGTGGCATTTAGGTGGTAAACTTTGAGGTGCTTGAGTCAGGAGTCTCAGCGAGAAACCTCACCAAGACCCTTGCACCTAAACATGTTAAATAAACATAATGTATTGCATGCGGGATGAATTGCAACACCCAAGCGCTCACTTGTGTTCAAGTGCTTCCTCCGGCTTTCTCTCTCCATTCTCTCTCCTAGCTTCTTGTGTGTGTGATCATGGCTTGCAAAATATGAAAGTCCAAAGTTCCAAACTGATCGCTCAAAGTGGATCTCAGGTCTAGACGGTACGGTCTAGATGGTACAGTCTAGCAGGTTTAGCAAACCATATCAGGAGTCTTCAGGAGTCTTCAGGAGTCTCAAATCCAAAGGAATTCGCTGTTGACCAGCTCCTTTCGTACTTGCCATGGCCCCCACCTGGCAAATGTGGCATTGCTATGCATCGCTTGAGAACATGCATGGACCATGTACGGGTCCGCCCATGGGTCCGCCACTCTTTGTCACGTCACTTGAGAATGTCCCAGGTTGGGCTCCAGGCACAAACCATTCTTCCAGTTGATCAACGATCAATTTGATTATCAACCTATCTCAAGGCCTTTCAGAAGTCAAATCTGAGGCTCAAATGCTTCTGACTCAAAATAACTCAAGTGTGTCAATGCCGACAATCTCGGGACCTGGAACCCGGACATCGGATACCTTTCTTAAACTTATATCCTTGATGCTCCGTATTTCCGAATTCCTGGCCTCATGAAGGTCCCACGCCCAGCAAATCCTTCAGTTCCTTCTGCAGATCTTTGGGTGTCGCTGCCATCGCCTGGCACACCTCCTTCTGCAATTGCCTTGGCGGCTGTGAAATATGTGAAATTCAAATTCAAACTTGTGGAATGTGGAATTTGAATATTCAAAGTGCCATTCAATATTATTCAATATCATTTAATGCTATCTATTCGTTGGTCTGAATCGAAGCGAACTTTTGGCTGACGTTCCAAGAAATGAAAACATGGCCATAGACTCTACAAAAAGTCTGTCACCTAGCAACTGCTGCTCTGCGCTAGACCTGCTTCAAGGAACCTCTGACAAAAACACCTTTGGAATGCAACATGCACTGGAATGTCTTGTTTGGACGACTTCTTTGCTGTAAATTTCCGTAAGTTCTTGCCATCTGTTTTGGAATCAATGGTCTTGCGAAAGATGGACCTGGCAGTGTGTACATGTCGTGTACATGTCGTGTACATGTCCCCCTCTGAGCCCTTGGCTTCGCTTTAGCTTCCTCACTCACTCTGCGGAGCCTCGCCAATTGGGAACAACACATCGCAGCTGACCTCTTAGTAACACTTGGAGCTTGTGGAATTTGAACCCAGAATGCGCTGCAGCGCTTGATGGAGATAGGCTTCCCAAACGACCCAAACCAGAAAAAACCTGATAAATCCGCTTTCAAGAGGGAACCAGTTGTGCATTGGTCCAGACTGGAAGCATGGACGAATAATCCTCATTCGGTGAGCTGAAGATTCTCATCGTGGTGCAGCCAAGGATCTCAGCATCAAGCTCTTTTCCTTTGCAAACCACAGACGCTTCGGTTGATTTGTTGCCAAACAGTTCAGAGTTTACCGTTTCAATGGCCAACAAAGGTCCGATCGATCTAGAAGAATCTGTGCGAAATTTCTTCATTGCACTTTTGGATTTCGGCTGGATCTTCAGGGATGTGCACCAATTTCGAGCAATGCAAATCGAGTGGGCCGCAACTTGTGATATGGGGATGGCATGGGATGGCATGGGATGGCTATTGGTAGGACCTATTAGGGCCTCAAATCTTGACCCACGCAGCCACAACAATACTACCACAACAACATATAACAAATAACATATATTATAACAGCAATAGCTCGTAGAACTCGTAGAACTCGTAGGGCTCGTAGGGCTCGTAGCTGCTACGTAGCTGCTACGTAGCTGCTACGTAGCTGCTAGCTGTTTCGAGCGTCTTTGAACTTCGAGCTCCGTGAACTTCTTCTGCTGTTCCGCAGCCGCCTTTTCGGCATCTTGGAGCTTCTTCTGTGATGCCTCGAACCTCAGACGGCATCGCTGCTGATCGATGCTAAGTAGCACTGAAGACCTGAAACGCCACGGACGTTTGAACGGACGTTTGCACGGACAAGCATGAATTTTTGAAACTTGTTGCAAGACATTGCAAGACCCTGTTTTCCAACAAACTGGCTGGACGGGTTGATGCGGATGCAGCTGAAGAGCTGTTTTTTCTGTGACTGCAAATCATCCTGCAGTCTCTGCAATTCTGCGACATCCTTCTTTGACTTCTCATTGGCCTCAAAAACTTTGAAATCGGAGCGCGCTCTCCAAAGATCTTATCAAATCGTGCTCCGAAAAACATCATCCCAATCGTCAACATGAAAATCATCTCCAATGGTCTGCCGCCTTCATGATGTCCCCTTTCATCTTTTCGATTTCTGCCTCAGCATGGAGTCGCCCAATCCACAACCTTAAAATAGCACGCAAAAAAAACAAATGCATACAAATGTGACCAGGTCAGCTGTTTCAACATGCATTTGACAACTTATGCGCTCGTTTTCAGCCGCAGGACCAATTCAATGTTTTTGCTGTCGAAAAATAAGCTTCTAATCCAATCAGAGTGTTTGAAACTTCTTGTGCCTTTGGTGTACTACACCAACACCATGTTGGGAGGAGGCGGGGGCACCCATTGCCAACAACAAACGCTTGGTAAAACACAAAAACAAATGCCTTAGACAAAACGGCATTCCTTAAATCGGATGCAAAATCCAGGTAATGCATGTACCTCATACAACATCATACAACAATCACCTTCAAACTGGTTCCATCGTTGACATCCGAGGGAAAATGAGAAAACTAAAATACGCTGAACTGGCAGTAACTGGCACGTTGTATTTGCTTAAATCATTGCCGTCTTTTGAGCACATTTTGGATGCCAAGTCGCGCTTTGCTCTTTGCTCTTAGCTCCTTTCAGCTGATCCTGGCTCTGACGGAGTCCGGCGGAGTGCGGAGTCCGGCAGTCCAATCAGTTTGAGCCCAATTTTGATGGCCCAGAACAGTGCAAAGTCTGACTTGACATCTCACTTCTGCAAAGTGTCAAGCTCTGCCCGAAGCTTCTGCACTTCTTGCGCGTCTTGTTGAGCCTTCCTCGTCAAACGTAGCAAATTTACAATTCACATTGCCTCCACGTTTGATGTTTCACAGATTTTCCAAAGTCCTACTTCGTAAACAAGGTCACAGTCACACTGGGAACCCTGCACAAAACAACGATCCATTCCACGCAAAATGTCACAAGAAACTGAAATGCGAGCGGCTGCTGGGATTTTTTCAACTCTTCTTTGGTTTTTTGTAACCTGGGATATCTGGGATCTGGGGAGTCAAACTGAAAGGTATTGGTGGTATTGAGTATGGACATTATTGGATATTATTGGTATCTTTTTGACTCCGTTGTGGACTTTTGATGGGACATGTTCGAGAAAGAACGACACTTCAAACACATTTATGTCCAACACTTCGGTTCCACATATTACACAACTGGTGAACCCTCAGAGTTTGGGGGCCCAGCCATTTTGTATGCTGCAAATCAAACAGAATCAATGTGCGGCGTCACAAATCAAGAGACATGACCAAATCCAAGCAACTCAACTTCAGGTTTTCCTTGCTTCCCTTGAGCCTTGCAACGGAAAAGCAGAATGGTTCCGGTTGGTATGCTTTGAAGCAAACCACTCCATAGGACATTGCGGAACCTCCTCCGTGAAGGAAAGGAACATGTTCCCAAAATCAACACCTTTGAACGCCCAAAAACCAAGGCGTGAATAGCATATCAGCACCCCCCCGAATCAGAAATTGCTCCAGCTGGGAGCAGGGGGAGCGCGTCAGAGAGGAGGGTACAAGAAGAAAGGCGATGAAAAACAAGAATCAAGAGATGAGGTAAAAGGAATAAACTGGAAGGAGATCAAGAGCCAGAAGCAAGAACAACGAAAAAAGGACAAGGACATGGACAAGAAAAAACACCAAGCGAGGAGTGCTTTCTTTCGGACCTCGGCTGCTTTAAGCATGCTTCGTAGATTGGTCAGAAAACGAGGTCTTCAGGCCGCTCAGAGCCGGTATCATATTAGTAACAAAATTGTTTTTGTTTGCGTCCCAAACCCACGATAAAATAAGTGAAGTGGTTCCAGGATTACGTCTTGGATCCGCATGAGAAGGGGCACAGAAGTCATAAACGTAACGAAATGTATTCGCGTTTTCGTTTGCGTTTTGTTTAGGTTTTTGTTTACGTTCTTCTTTACGTACGATCCAAAATAGGGTCTTACTTTGTGTGATTTGCAACATATATTTGCAAACATATAGTATTGAACTTATACCTAAGTAAAATCCAGGCGCAAAAACACGTTAATGTTTCACATGTGCTTCGCACCTGTTTTGCATACGGCTCAGACATGTGAAAAAAACATACTTTGCATAATATACGCCGCACATATACGCTTCACATACGTTCCACAAACGTAAATGTGTATGTTTCATATGCGTTTGGGGCGCATACGTTTCACTCCTTAATCCCCAAGAATGACTAAGAGTGGAAATGGACCACCCCAGTGCAAACGCACATGAACTTAAGTGATATTGATGATATTGCTATATATTGGTTCTGGGGTGCCAAAAAGTATCGCTACGAATTTTCCCCGAGCCCGACATCTTCCGGCCGTCTGCGAAGCTCTACAATAAACTAACATAAACTAATTAGTGAAGAGTGTCAGCGTATGTATCAACAGGTCTAAAATGGTCCAAGTATCAACAAACACACAAACGAAACTGTTATAACATGACGTGCCTAGGTTTCGTCTGTGTCTATCTGTGTCTATCTGCCTATGATTCTCTGGGTGCAATAGTTGCCCGCGTCAAAAGAAACCACTGCCTCCTTCAGTTGTGCTTGGAGCTGTTGGATTTCTGCCTCCTGCGGTTTACGGGGTTTACCGCAGTGCATTGAGCTTGGTTCGAAATTTCGGAGCAAATTGAATACCATTTGAATGCTTAAAAGTAGCCACTTCTTGGATCTAATGTGCCTCAAGTCTACTTCAGACATGTTCCGAACCCAAAACTTTGCATCAAATCCTTTTGCTTCTTGGCTTCATCTAGTCCTTATGCCCCGTCGGCAACACAGGCGCTACGGGATGTGGACGTGTGACGCAGTGCTGATCCCAACTGATGGTATGCCATATATTAGCATTCTCATGTCCGCGCTCAACTTGTGATTTGGCTTCATGCAAAGAAAACACAACGGAATTAGAGCAAAAAATAAATGTGGTTACACACAAGATTCTGTTTGATTGGAGAGAGCCTCACAGAAGTCGTCATCGATGTACTGTTTGGGCATGATCCATGGTGATAATTTCAAATGTCCAAAATGGCTTCAAACCAAAAACAACATCACATTCTCGAAACCTATGAAAGCAGCAATGCCGTGTCTGCGAGACTTGAAGTAAACAAGGCATAACAAGGCCACAAATCATGAGTGCGTCGGAGTGCGTCGCAGGGTCCAGAATTTTGGCACCAACACTGTCAGATTTCTCTATGGTTCTGTAAAATCTTCCAACCGCTGCCATTTTGTAAATTCTGCCAAGATTCGTTTCTGCAAGTCGGCTTCTTTTTTCTGAGCTGCACTTGCTTCCTTCTCTCGAGCCGCGACGGTGGCTTCTAACTTCACCATTGCAGATTCTTTCTTCCTCAAGGCAGGAGTCGTCTCTATGCGAAGTGCCCAACAAATAGCAATCATATATATATATTTATAGATAGTCATCTAATCAAACTCAATCTAACGTGAAAATGGGCAATGCTTCACCAACCCCAACACCCAAAACTTGCTGTTCGTCCTGATTAAAATGGATAGGGTGAGAGAGAAATGAGAGAAGTAAATAGACAGGCGGATAGATTGACTGTGCAGGGAAGAATCAAACGAGATTCGGTTTGGACTAGGCCACTCTGATTGTGGAACGTTGCGAGCGCACATCCATCTAAATCTCTACATTAATTTGCTCTCTATTCGCAGTCACCATGTTTGTCTACAAAGGTCAGATATCAGTATCATTCGCAGGGCAAATGGAAGTCTAATTCAAAAGGTACAGTAACAACCAGGCTTTTTGCTTTTCATTGCAGCCTGAGAGTCTCAAATTCTTCTTCCTTTTTCTTCATCGTCGCTTTCTGCTTTTCGATCTCAGCATTCTTCGCTTGCAGCTCAGCATCCTTAGTTCGGGTTGATGCCTATGACAATGTGACACTGATGAGAAAATCCCAAATTCGCACTATCTTACACCTTGTACAAAAACATAGTCACAAAACAAGAGACTGAACATGGATGGAGATACAGGTAATTATATGTATATATATATACAACTATTGTATTGCAGGTATCTTCATCGTTTTTGGTGACATTCCGGAATTTCTGTCATGTGTTCGTATTCCTCAATCCTAGCATGTGCTGTAAATCCGTCTGTCAAGTCTGATTGAAAACAACACCAGATTCTCTACTGGGGTTCGCCCTTGAAACGACGTGCCACTTCAGTGCCCGAGAGTCTTTCTTCTTCATCTCAGCATCCTTCTTCTGGGACTCTGCCTGAAAGCTTTAACAGCAAATGCAGAAACTAGCTGCCGTTCGACCTGAAGAAGTTCGAAGAAATGTTGAACATTTGAGTGGTCTGTGAGACTAGCAACGTGTTCTGCAGTATACACCTGACGAAGTCCTTCCCTGCAAAATCAAATCACGGCTAGAAAGCAAATAAGGTACGTCTCGAGGTACTGGCAACAATTTGGTGAAAGAAGATTGGCAGAATAATGGCAGAATTGTCTTTGCCAATTTTTTGGCCAACTTTTCATATCTCTTTGATTCTCTTTGACGTCAGTCCAGGCCTCCTTCTTCTCCATCTCAGCTCGAAGTTTCTGAAGTTCCTAAGCCATGCGACCACGTGTCACAGGGGTCTGTTCGGTTCAAACAGAAACTATCAGAAACTACAAGCTTCAACTTGCTTCAACTTGCTTCAACGGTCCAAAGTCTCGATGAGTTGAAGGAATCTGATTGAAAGCTAAAGTGGAACCAAAGTGGAACCATATCAGTTGGCAAATGGAAGAGTCTTTGTCAACGTTTCCTGGATGGCTCGAGCGCCCAAGCCAATGGTTGCTAAGCAGGTTCAATTTGCTACAGAGTAACAGAGTACTTTACAATTCGATTCCCTCTCTCTCTCTCACTCTCTCTCTGTCGGGTGTTCTTGCAGCAGCTCTTTTTCATGCCTTGAGCATCTGGGAAAGGGCAGGTTGCCGATGTTAAAACCAAGTGCGATTTGCATCCGCTCGATGGCAAATCAAAAGTGACAGCATTTGTTACACTTTGTCACACCTTCCAGTTTGCGGTACCATTGCAGCTGGATGCAACGTAAAGCACGGCTCCAGGCAAACTCATCTGCCTAGTTTTGAGATAAGTGTTACATAGTGTTACACTGTTACACGTAGGGCGTAGGGGCGTAGGGCATCCCTCAGAGCTTGGAGTGAGCAGCTGGATTGAAAGGAGTCAGGAAACCGTCGCCGACGTAAAAGTTGTGCTCTGTTGGGGACTCTCGGAAAACCACAAAGCAGTGCTGTTCTTTGCACCCAAGCTCGTCTGCGATGGTCTTGGCGATGCCTCATGGGTTGTTCTCTGAAAAAAAACATCATACTTACTACCTACCAGTCACTTGTAAAATAAGTGGCCAAAAGCACTCTAGGTGGACAATAGGTGAACAATAGATAGACAATAGGTGGACAACAAGAATCAACAGGAGCTGAACTGCTAGCTGCTGATAACTGAAAACTGAACTCTGCCAGGGATACGTTTGGAGAATTCCTCTTTGCGCCACTTTTCGCGGCCTGGACGTTGGTCCACCTTCACCAAGGGAACTCCATCGCCCATTTTGCCCAGGACCTCCAGCACTGTGACGTAGTCATGGTGTGCACGGTCAGCTGACAACGTGTCCAGCACATGCTGCCGGCAGGCCACACGGATGCGCTCCAAGGTAGCCTCGTCCCCGGCATTCTTCGGCAAATGGATCTGAACAATCGGCATTCTTCGACTTTCTTCGACTTACGCGACTGCGACTACTGTGACTTTCAGAACGAAGCGTAAGCTGAGCAAACTCAGCAAACTCAGCAAATTCTCGGGTCTGTCAATGTCGTGTGATGCCGTGTGCACACCTCTGCAGATGCCATTTGAACCGATATGGACATCGGACGTGACTCAAAGATTTGGTTCGCAACAAGTGAGCACTTTTAATTGCCACATCAACTGCCCAGATAAACCATGTTGGGACATGGTGACAGATTCTTGCAATCGGTGCTTCTCTTCTTGGACCATGGATGCCAACCCAAACAGAAAAAAACACTGAACAAATCTGCAAAGAACATTTCTGCCACGAGGCACAGGTTTCACCCTCAACACTTGGAAACATGCCTTGAAAGACCAGGTAAAGACCATGAACTATCGACATAAAGTTGCCACATGAAACTTATGAAACATCCAAAATTACAGAGTGAATCAGTGTGACATAGATCACATCAAAACTCTGCTTTCGTCACATCAAAACAAAAAGAAAACGCCGAAGAACGACGAAAACGGCGTTTAAACAACCCAAATTTCTACCAGAGCGGCGATAAGCACGGCTATAAGCACAGCTTTTTCAGCACAGCTTTTTTAGCACCGAGGCTCGTCCGTGGTCTTTGCCGCACTTTCGGCCGACGCCTTCGCTGCCGCCAGATTGGCCTCGTTGGTCTTGCCGAGCTGCTCGGCCTCTTGGACCTTCGCCTCGCTGGTCTTCAACTTCCCTCGGCGTTACGACGTTACGAAAGAAAACATATGACGACATCGTATACCCTTCGTGTAGTCATCATATGTCATCTCATCATCGTTTCCTCATCATCGTTTCATGTGTTGAATTTCAGAGATATATTCTTAGAATAGCAGGCCGAATTGGTCAACCCATGCAAGATATCTACGTGAATTGCACCAAACACACCTACGAAGACGATACTCATCCGAAACCACATGAATTGCAGTGACCTTGTCTCCTGATTCTCCTGTCCATGGGTCATCCTCATCATCCCCCAAAATAACTACAGAGTCATCCCACTTCAACCGGCACCGCTGGCACCGCTTATCGCACCTTCCACCTCTGCAAGACTTTTCTTCAGCACTGGGACTTCGGCTGCCGCCTTTTGCAGCTCCTCCTGAGTTCGGTGTACTGGGCATACTTCGAATGTCCATGAAATACAGATATAATTTTGATATAATATTATAATATGATATAAGACAGGCAAAAGTATCAAAAGTGCACCGAAAACCAGGTTTGATTTGTGATTCAGCGCCTTCTCAGCTCTCAGTGTCGCTATTTCGGCCCCATCAGCTGCACCGCTCTTTGAAGCTTCTTGGAGACCCTTCCTTGGTGTATGCGAAATAAAGCGCTGCCTGATTGCAGCGGATGAACCTCCTGCATTTCCAATCTTTACAACTCCAGCAGTTCCAAGCATCACAAGTTCTGTCTGACTCTGCAGTTCCTTCATCTTCCTTTCTTTGTCATCTTCACAGGTCTTCAAACTCTCCTGCGTTTGAAAGCATGGTGGACATAACAGTCATCAACAGTCACCCACTTTACTCTACATCATCAGTCCTTGTGGACTATGGACTAGCCAAGTAGAAACTGTACAAACAACTGTGCAAACATGTGCAAACAACCTTTCTGGAGGTTGTAGGCCATTTCGAATTAATAACTATGTTGCAGCCGTTGCTTTTGCTGCGTTCACCTAACAGGGGGTCTTCTTTTGTCAAGGGACCAAAACAAGTACACCCCAAATAGCAACAAATTCAAATTACTGAAGCATATTGAAGCATACAACATCAGAATCATGGGGCCGCTGGTATATCATGTATATCATTTACGTCTAATGTCTTTCACCCTTCCCGATCTTCCCGTGACAGTCAACGATTAAAACGATTCGACATATTCGACATTTCCTTCTGCAGGTTGAGCAGTTTCTCGAGCTCCGCCTTTTTCTTCAGCTCTTCATCCAAGCCTCTGCAGGATCCCCACGGTCACTGTGGCCGGTTGGCGCACGGTGTGGCAGGAAGAAACAATAAGAAACATCTTCATGTAAAGCACAAACAGGTACGACATGGTACGACCACAACATACCACAACGTTACATTTGTCGGCAGATGTATACAGTTACATCTATGTACATCTGTCATGTAGCCAGAACTTCAATAAGTCTTCTGTCCGAGCAACTCTTCTTGAGTGCTGCGCTTTCATCACTGTCGCTGCCACCAGCACTAGCAGCAGGTGCATTGCAGCAACGTTGGAAATCAAAACCATCCTGCAATGGCAGGTGTGACAACAAAACAACCGTTTAACCAAACAATCCATGTTGGTCATCATTCGTTCTTTTGAAAAACCTTTGATGACTCTGCCGATCTTTGCGTGTGGGTAGTTCTTCTACTTGTTCCAGGTTGGGACATCTTCGGGCTTAACTAGGGAGGAAACATCTCAGCTGCTTTACAAAAGAACACATTTTTGCCGCTTTCAGAATTCTAGTGGCAACTGCACCAGCAACCCATTGGACTTCCCTTTGCGGGAAGCAATCCAACACCCTGAGCGTCACCTGCCAGCATCGTTCTTGACCAAGAGGTCCGTGCTTGAGGTCGCAACATTCAGCACCTGACATGTCATCTGAACGGTGCCAACGCAAGGAAAACAACAACGAGCGGAGCATCCACATTTCCTCTTCCTCATTGCTTGACAATATATAGTTCCCACTCAGCATCCTTTGCCAAGGTTTTCTAAAGACGACTTCTAGGCCGAATCTGGCAAATGGAGATATGCGTTGCGTTCATTGCATCTGCAGCCAAGGCATGGCCAAGTCAGACTCGAAGTCTGGAGCAATGAGCAACATGAAACGCACACGAGCTTCATCTGAAACTCACGTCAGTTTCAGGTCCCAGATACAGCTCTCGAAGGGATTCTTCGTATTTCGTGGAAAGCACGTGGGATCCTCGCTGCAGTCCGCAAACCAAAAAACTATTCAGTTGCACATTGCTAGCTTTGTTGAAGGGAGATTTTGAAAACAGCAGAGTCAATATATCCGTGGCAAACAGAAACCGAGTAATGCGAGATAGGAAAAGAGCCAAGGCTAGGAAATGGGTCGAATCGGGAGTCAAAATGTTCACAACAACATTGTTTTTACATGTGTTTATTTTGTTTTTGGTATTGCGGTAAGCATTCTGTTCTTGAAGGCCGCTCGTTTTGACCCATGGCCAGAAAGTGGACGTCAAAGCGTTGAGTGACTTAAAACAGTGACTGCATGGACAGTTTTCAGACGCTGTCGCCTCTGGGAAAACTTGTTGTTTTTGTTGTGAGCCAATTGCAGCACTGCAAAATCGAAACACGTTAAACACATGGACACTTTTCACATCTTTTCACTGCCGATCTCTTGATGCGGTCCTTCAGGGGCAAGCACTCCAGCAATGGTGTCGCGACTTCCTGGAGCGTCGGGGTCGATCGAGAGCATTCACCTTCATGGCTACCTACTTGGTCCTACTCATGTTGCATCATGTTCACCATTATTTGGACACGTTCAAACATATTCAGAACATGTCCTACCGACAAATTGATCAAATTGGTTTTCATCAACTCAAGTCCATGTGTTTCCAACATCCGTTGCCCAATCACATCCATTATCACACATCTTGGATCGTCTTAGATGAGTTTCTGCCGTTTGCTTGGCCACAGCTTTGGTAGGCCATGCAAGGCTCTGCACGAAGGCTGGATGTTGCGGTGGCGGAACACCACCTGCACAACGGAGGTGGTTTGAACATCAACTGTTATTCAATCATGAATCGGAGCCTAGCAACTATTTTCACATATTCTCACGATTGATTTAAGAAAAAAAAGAGATTTCACAAAACCTTGCTGTATCTGCAAAAGCTGAGGAAAGCGACAGGAATAGCTCCGCACCTGCAAACCGCTCCATGTATCTGGTGAAGTCGTCCAAATGAAACGGCACTGGGCTGTGCTGATCCATACACACATTCACTACCTGATCCAGGTTGGCGCCAGTCCGAGGCCTTCCTTCCAACCGTCAAATGCTCTCAAATGCACCAAGATTTTTCGGTTTTTAAATTGCATCCCTGGTTTTATCGGTTCCCTCGTACTGCGCATCTTTCCATACCCTTTCCCTATCCTTTCCTCCAAGTTTTCATGAAGAATGCCACTATCCAAGTACTATCCCGGCTATCCATTTCGCATCCAGGCCGTCATCAGCTCGTTCATCTTGGAGATCCATTTCACGACACCCATCAGGGACTTCTTGGCAATCCTTGGAATTGGAACGGCTTTGTACAATGTGGGCTCTCAGAATATCTTGAAAATAAAATAAAATAACACGCTTTGATTGGTGTTCTTCAGATTCTGTTTGACATTTTGTGCCACCCTTCAACACGATGACACAGTTCCTGTCATTATTTGTGTGGAGTCTACAGTGTAGATCCAAGCTCAACATGAGCGCTCAGGTATTTCTGCAACTAGCAGCAGGCACCGTTTCAAGTGCAAAGTGCAGCTGAGAGGCCAGTGCTGCGAGCACACCATGGACATTGCCAAATGCCCTGGAAGACAACTGTTGTGGACCTTGTGCATCTAATCTGTTCAAATTTGGCACTTCGACATATTATATGTCGAAATATGTCGAAATGAAATCTGAGTGTTTTCTCAAAAAACAAACACAAAGCATCACAAAACTTGCTGACGATATGCTGACGATATTTGTCCAAGACACAGTTGTGGCATCAGCTTCCTGCAACTGCAGGACCTCGTGGATATCGAAGGTCTTCTTCGAGTTGGGATACCTCCCACCGTAGCAATCTGATGCAATCTGCTTCCGCTTCAATTGCCAAGAACCAAACCAGTTCACAGTTCTGTGAACTGAACCTGCGGAACTTTCAGTACTCAACTTTGACAAAACCCATTTCACCCAACAGTGAAGCATAGTTAAACAATAGGCAATAGCTTTTGATGCTGTTTATATATGTTTGTCTACCATACATCACAGCACATGCCGATGATGTTCGACCTGGTTATACCGTAAGGTATACCTGGTTGTAAGATGCATTGCTCTGAGGAACATGGTGGCATCTTCCTCACAGCTCTGCTGAAGTATCCACTGCGTCGAGGGATCCTCTGCATTAGACCTCACACGGCAATATGTGGCAATGTGGCAAGCAATTTCTTATCATTTCTTATCCATAGAGAATCCAGAATTCAACATGCATTTTTTTTTGATGCGTTTCTGCATCGTTTTGCCTTCACCACATTGTTGTTTCCATTGCTCAGCAACGGATTTTGCGTCTAGCAGTCGTCTAGCCGACCTTCGGAACCCCATCCATCTTTACTCAGCATACTGCTATCGACTCTGCCCTTACTTCAGATATGATTTGAATTGATTTGATCTCAAAAGATGAGAAACATTCAGAAACTATGCAACTGAGCCCTTGGGGCCCTTTGGGCCCTTGGCACCAAAAGGCCCCACCTCCACGCACATAGTCACATACTTGTTCAAGAACCCCTGGTGCCCAAGTGGAACCTTTGCAAGCCAAGTGACAATGTCTTCGGTAGATCCTGGATATGTATCAGCATCGCACTCAAGTCGTGCACCCAATTGTTGTCCTAAACCGAGCAGTGAAATGACTTCCTTGTGCGGAAGGAGAGATAAACTACATCATTTGTAGACGGGTGTGAAGATGCCTTCATAAGGAACCTCCCTTTTCGTTCAAGATCAATATGGAAAACATGATGTTTTCTTATTCAAAGATATTCAAAACACATACGGTGTCCTGCCTGAAACCAGCATCAACTTACTTTATTGTCGTTTTTCTCGTCATTCGGAACAATGATGGGTTGAGCCGCAATGAAAGATTTCACTCCGAGTTTCTTGGAAGTCGCATTGGCACCTCGCAGGTGTAAAAAGTGACTTGTTGGCAAAGCTTTTCTGGAAGGAACAATACACAACAACAATTCAGCACCACGTACTCACATACTTTAGAACAGACCAAACCTATCAAACCTTGAAAGGACACTTGTTTGAACACCAAGACAACCAAGACACATGAACTCAGGAGCTTTCTCTGAAGCACCCAAAGGCAGTCTCAGCGCCAGCCCTGCAAAGCATAGCTTTGTCCATGACCGATTTCTCCGACCCATGGCTGCCATGGCTGCCATGGCTGCGGCGAGGAAGTGTGAAGTGATGCGTCTGATGCGTCGAGACTGGGTGGAAAATCTGTGGGTCGAGACAGGAAAGGCGCTAGGAAAGGCGCTAGGCTAAACGCGCTAGGTGAGCTCAGTGGCTTGGGGTCTGAGCCCTCCATCGTTTTGCAGGGGCTTTTCCAGAGATTGCTTCTTGAGTCTGCTTGAGTCTAAAGGTCGGACAATTTTGAAAACCGCACTCGAAAAAGTGTGCACGAACCACTTTCTTTGGGATTTTGGATCAGATTGTTGTAACCCCACCCAGCAAGTTCACTCAGCCAGCTGATGGCAAAGTGGGGTTGAAATTGGACTTGCATGAGGCTATCAGAGGTATCCAAGGGGATCCCCTCCATGATACGTCTTTTCTCAGCTGTCAAATGGCCACATCGCCAAACATCATGGCAGTGTATGGCAGTCATGTTGTGCGGGCAGCCGATACAGTCTGCAATACACTTGCAGATACCACTTCCAATGATAGTGCTCACTCTGACTGTCAACACTGCTTGATCTTTGCAAGTAGAAAATCAATACTTACATTCCATATCATGGAGAACTTGGCTTGGCAGATACCAAAAGAATGACCAGTTGGCTACGGTAATCTAGTGCGCATAGGAAGATGATCTTGGACATCTTGGACGTAGAGTTCTGCTCCTCTGCTCGCACTTTTCATCTGACTATGTTTTCTTTAGTTGATGTCCTGGACATAAAAGCCTGTCAAGGCAGAGCAAACATCTGAGACACTTGCGTTTGAAAAAATGAACGGAACAATGGGAACCACATGTACGAACAGATTGGAGTACACAAACATTCTCACACACTGCTGATATCCCTTTTGATGCAAGATGATGCAACATGATGCAAGACACGTAAGCTAAAACATGGGCCTTGACGCGGTCAGGCTTTCCATCACCAATCTTGGCCAGGTCGCTCTTACTCAAACGTTGCTTCAAAGGCCTTGCGAAATGACATGGCACTTTGGCACTTCCAATTCTGACGGCAGGTGACATCAAGAGAAACTTGAGCGTACGGACCGTGCCTGACCCAAATCCGGAAATCGATGGGCGTTCCCCACAACGACGTCAAGGTCTCAGTGACCTCAGTGACCAGTGCATCTTGAACATTGAGCAACCGTGAGCAACAACTCAGCAACAACTCAACAACAACTCTTAAATTCAAACGGAAATGGTGTTCCGAGTTGGCCGCGCCTTCTGTCGCATGTGCTGCAGAATGGTGTTTCGAACTCCCAGGACCATCCGCGCGACGACGGAGTCTTTTACCTGAAGCCATGGAAGCCATGGAAGCCATGTCCGTGCAACTCCCGTGTCGCTGTACATGCTGTACAGATCTGTACAGTGGTGCAGCTGAGCTTCGATGATCTCGTGTTCGATCATCAAAGATCCATCCAGTCGCGGTGTCCAACCTCACAAATTGGAAGGTGTCAAGTGGATCAAGTGGATCAAGTGGATCAGGTGGATCAGGTGGCATTGAGGAATACTGATGTTGGACAAGTACTGCTCATGAATATTCATGAATCCTGACTCCAGATTCAAGTCCGTGACCCACAGTTTGCTGCTCAAACTTGTAAGGCACATCAGAATTAAACCTTGGACGCATCCACGGCATCCACCGTCTGTCAGACTGACATCTATATAGTGAAGACACAGTACTGTTGAACAAGTAAACATGACATATTTGCTTTGACAAGATTCACAAGAGCCAAGAGTCCTTCTAAAGATGTAGGCGTTGACAACTTGCCTTCGCTGTCAGAAAGAACACACTCTCCATCCCCAAGCTGATCATGACTTGTGACGACTTGTGACAGGAATTCTCGTCCAGTGACTTCACTTGCTCCGTGTGCGACATAGTGGTTAGCAGCTCCGAAGGATAAAGCCAGGGCCTCAAACAATTTTCATCATACCATTGAAATCTGTGCAGCAAAACCAGTCACACCATTGGAATCTTACATCTCATATCTCATCGCGCACCATTTTTCACAATTTTCCACAACCAAACAGTACCGAACCATTGAAAGCGATTGAAAGCGATTGAAAGCGATTGAAAGCGATTGAAAGCGATTGACAGTGCCTGGGTTTTGCTCTCCTCTTCAAATGTTCCAGCAACTTCACCTTAGCGATACCAAATTTCGCAAGCGACAATTGGACCCGCAATTTCACATATTTCACATATTTCACAATTCTGTTTGAACATGTTTGAAATCTTCTCCAAGTCATGACTCGACTCGAATTCTAGCCTTTGGATGAAGTATTGATGGATATTGATGGCTTGCTCTGAGAGCACCACAATGCCATTACTCTTTGTGGCAGAAGTGTAGAAAATGCCATCAAACTGGCCTTGGTTGTCACAAACAGACAATAGAAACATATAGAAACATATAGAAACATATAGAAACCATTGTTACAAAATGTTACAAACACAACACGCACATCACTGTGTCACTCAAAAAGCATTCCTACTCCGTTGATTGTTGGGGTCCAGGCCATGTGTCTTGAACTCACGTTCTCTCGAGGTCACCTGACACGTCGACGTCGGAGACGTCGGATGGGACTCACCATCTGCCGCTGCCACTAGCTTCACTAGCTTCACTAGCTGCTGGCTGCAAGATGCTGAACGAATCTGAACGAATCTGAGGTCATTGGGACGCCCGGCCCATCTCATCTCAGATGCTTTGTCAATTTTGTTAAGCACCAGAGTCACTGGAGGACGGTCTTCATCCTCGGAAATCTCTCGATTCATAAGACTTGGATGTGACAAATACTTTGGTTCCTTAAATAATCTTAAATCCATCCATTCTATGAGTATGACTCAGTATGACTTAGTATTTGATCCTCTTTTCAATCTCTTTTCATCTCCAATGCTTGTGTCACTATGTGTCACTATGTGTCACTTATGCCCCTCTCCCGTCCTTCAATGACAAAGGATTGGTGCCTGGGATTGATCGAGGCCTCCGTATCCGCCATGCAAATTCCAGCAACTTGGCATAGTTGGCATCCAAAAGACCCGTGACTATCGTGACTCAAAGAATGTCAAAGAACAGGGACACACTTCCGGGAAAAACAGGCATCGCAACGTCGCAACGTTGCAAGGTGCAAAGCTCTTCACAAGGCCACAAGGCCGCCACAGCATCTCCATCGCTCGCTCAGGCAATTCTCGACGGCCATCTTCATCCACCTGAGACTCCAACTGATGCACTTGCACTTCACACTGCTTCACACTGCTTCACAGTGCTTCCTATGACTGTTTTTGAAAGCAGCAAGATTCAGTAAATTTATTTAACATACTGTTTTTCGGCCATAAATTTCGCGTTGAACGCTTGCAACTTCTTTCAACCACCCGGGCCAGGCTCTGTGGTCGGCCCTTAGCACGCCTCCATCAACGCGTTCATGCGGAAGCGAAGTCCCGCCTGTGTCCGGTGACACGGCTAGCTTTGAAGATCTTTGACGCTCATCTGACGCTCATCTGACGCTCATCTCGCTCTTATTGAAGCATATTTATAAGATTTTATAAGCACATTGAAGCTGTCCTTTAAGCTGTTGGTTGTTGCTCAAACTTTGATTGTGATCTGACAACTCTACTATGGAATCACTGGGATCGAGACGCCTTCGCAATGTCCTCTTTGGGACAAATCTTGCGGACCACATCAAAGATTTCAGGATTAGGGCGCTTGACCTGTGGCGATGGATGTGACTCCCAACTGAAGGGAAGCTTCAGCAACTAGACCAATCAATTCCTGCGTCAAAACACAAAGAAAAGCAAACCGCAGCAAACCTGTTCAGGATTTTGAAGTGAGAAAGTATGAGAAAGTAAATCTAGGGTCAACAAGCGGCCCGTGATGTTAAAGAAGAATGAGAACCAAGTCATACAACCGCACACACACACAGAGACACGTTACATGTTTGTTTCACCGGTGAACACAGGTATAGAACATCACTGATACGGTTGCATGACCATTCCGAACTGAGCTGCCACGTCGATGATTAACAAACATAGGTCGCACTCCTGATATCCAACCCATGCCTGCGGCGATGCACCAAAATTGGATGGCAATCAGAAACAATCAGAAACAAGCATGCAATCAAGTATAATCAAGTGAAATCAGCAACTTCTCCAGGACTTGGATGGTGGTGAAAGTCCTGTCGGCCTTGGAAACTAGCTCTCGGCTAGTGATCCGCTCGTGGGAAGGGATGATCCTGGCAAGGTCAGCTCCATGGCCATCCTCTGAGTTCACTGAGTTCACGCAGAAGGAAACACAATGGCTCAGAATATCATAGAATATCATAGAATATCATAGAAATTCATAGAATCTCTCGTAGATGCAAATTTCAGCCAAATGATCCGGATGTCGGATCACATTGATCACATTGGATGTTGAGTCTCGTTTGCCTTTCCAGTCTTTCAACTTCTTTCACAACGGCGCTGTCCCGGGCACATCTAGGAAGATCAGCTGGGTGTTGCCAATGGTCTTCACACCACGGATGCCTTCTCTTGTCGTGTTCACCTGCAAAACCCAAGTTATGCCAAGTTGCCAGTGATTTCAGAGTCCTTTCAGAGTCGTTTCTAAATCGTTGCTGTTTCCAAGACTTCACCATACAGTAAAACCAAGTGTCTAGAACGGGACTGCACAACATTGGAAGGACATTTCAGTTGACCGTCCTTCAAAATCTTAGGGTTGTATATCATATTATGTCAATATTGTCCATGATCTACCTGCCCACAAATCGAAGATATTAGTCTTTATATCCTTGAAGTGAGATCATCAAGTAATCTGATGAATCTCAATTTCTGCAGCCTCCTCCAAAACTGGGACCCAACCACAGCTCCCAGCTGCCTTTGGAGACACTGCACTGATTGGACCTGGGCATGGAAGAAACATATCTGGCTCTGAGCAAAAATCATAAAGCTTTGGGTTGGCAAAAATGCAGACAGATTCACTTCAACAAAAAACACCTTTCACTCCATCCATTTGGAGCCAGTCCAAATTGGTCTCCAAATTCCACATGCTGCTTTTGCTTGAAAGAACTACTTGATAGAACTTGTGTCCAAGGATGTCCAAGGTCTTGGCAATCCAAAATCGCATTCATAATAGCAGATTTTCCTGCCTCGGCGGGACACAACCTGTGTTCCACATCAAATGTGCTGAAATCAACAGACATTTCAATGAGATTTCCATCTTATGGAGCCGGTTTCTATCCCAGAAGCCGAGCTTCGATTTTTTTTAATTTCCGGTTTAATACGTTTAATAATGTTCAATATATTATGACTTTATATGACTTTTATGACTTTTATGACTTGCCGTGATCCGAGGTCCAAGGACCACACGTTTGGCGGGCCCATAAGCCCTGCGCAAAATCGACAGTTTTTTTGCTGCATGAAAACACATTGAATCCTACAGGTTGAAGCAGATTGATGCAGAAAGCCATGCTCAGAACTCTCAGAACTTAGAGCTTCAAACTGACTTGATCTGACTTGAACTAGAATTTGTGAAGTTTGTGAAGTTCTGCGTTCGTTGACTGACATGTCATAGCATGTGCCTACCCGCAAGAGCTGCGGATCTGCCGGCTGTACCTGTGGCTGCTGTGGCTGCTGTGGCACATTGCGGATCTACCAACCGACCATATTTCGAAACTGGGCCACCCTGCAGGTGCATCCCAGGTGCGGAATTGTGCTTCAGTTGGTACAGCACTGCGTACCTAGAAGACCCAACATATTTTAACATTGAACATCATGGAACTGTCAGCACTGGGTCATGGTCAAAGAGTGCAAGACTCATAAAACATCACAAAACATAGAGCCAAGATGTAAATCCGAGGCTTCTTTCTTGAGTCAGCAGGATTTTCTGGTCATCTCGTATTTGACCCCAAAGCCCCTGGCGTAGTTCAGTGGTCTTCGAGGTCGCAACAACTCAGCGATGTCAGGCTCCTGGTGAGGTATCGGCAGTGAAACTGAACACTTTCCTGTCTTTGAATCTATGCCCACCTGTGACCATCTATGACCTACACCGTGACTCTGCTGGATCCCTAAATAGCAAACCACCTAATTACTTTGATATCTTTTGATGGCAAGCATCGCAAACACACGGTTGATAGTGGCTCTGTAGGTGGCTATTTGCCTTGTAGAAAACTTCTGCAGACATCTCGGACACACGCTTTAAATAAACTTTACAACCTGATAACCCTTGTATTGCGATCGGTAAACCCGGTAAACCCGGTAAACACGAACACCAAGATACTGATACCATCCCAGCCACTGGGATCTGTCTCTGTTTCAAGGCGCACTTTCTCTAAGGAAAGCCTATTGGAGGCATTGCAAAAAAACAGTTGGATCAGAACAGATCAGACTTCAACAGACTTAAACTAAGATTCTCAGCAGATTCTGCAGCGGATGAGTCTTTCACACTTGACTGTCCCCGGCTCTGTACTCACATCTGACATCTGTATCCGGCGCCCTAGAAGCACTCGGAACATTAAACAGGCATCTCACATTTTCCGAGAGACTGCCGTGCTTGCTCAACTTCCCCACGTTTTCTCCCAGCTGTTTTTTTGATAAGTCGTGCAGGGCCATCAAAAAAGTCGTGAGAAGGTATCAAAATGTAATAAAGTACTAAAACACAGAGAAATTGTGGGAATGCTGGCGAAAGACTGAAAGACTGTTCCCTTGTTTCCCAGTCTTACAAAGATTCGGATTGAACACTTCCATGGATTGGTTGGTTTAATGAGTTTAATGTTGATTATTATATTGCTTAATATAATTAGCACATAATTAGCACTGCTTCTATTTTTGACAACAAAAATTCATCACGGCCATGACGGCCGAACACCATCGAACACCAAGGCCATCCTGCAGTGACCGCAGTGATGCGACCCAAATGTGGCTTCGCCAAGGACCGGCGACCACGACGGAAACTCCCGACAGGCGCCCGACCAGGAAATCGGACGGCGATTTCCGATCAACTTAGTTCAACTTAGTTCAACTATGTTCAACTTGTTGCATTTCGTTTGGAAATCACTGAAATCTTTCAACAAACTGGAACACCAGCTGGCGTTGAAAACTCAGGGTTGAGCTTCCCAATGCAGCCAGACGGGACTCGAGCCACACCGCTGCACACGGCTACACCACGATTTCCTTCTCATGGGCTTCCTGGGGACAGGTGCCAGAGGTCAAATTTCTTTTCAAACCCTGCCATTGATTTTTGAAGTATCTTATGGTACTGTAGAAATTCCTAGAACCCTTATAACTTATTATAATTTATGAATGGTGTCATTTTGTACCATTTGCTACCTGTGCTTTGTAGCTAACCGGATGCATCCGGATGCGCTGTCATTTTTACATTGAGCCAGTCCTTGGCGTGCTTGGCGTGCTTGGCGTGGGCGCAGGATCTGCAAGCCGAGGTCAGAAAGTGCGTGGGCTTTTGAGCGTCCCAAAAAGCGCAGAGTTTGTTCTCCTGCCGTGCTATGCTCGATTGCAATATGCATTGCCATGGTTCCAATATGTTGCAATATGTTGCAATATGCAAACATTGTAAACATTGTAAACATAGCAATGCAAACACCTCCCCAACGTCACATAGCAGGCATCGAAGAAGGCATCACAGATTCCATCAGCTCACCCGGCACATCGAATCTCTGAACAATTTCAGAATGTCAGATCTGCCAAATCTTACATCCAATCTGAAAGATACTGGTTTTCAAGAATGTTCAAGATAGTTCAAAGGTGTTCAAGATGTTTAGGCCACTGGGGTGCAACGAATTCGTGTAGCTGTTTTTTTTGTCTTTTCGGATCACAGCCTTTTGGCAAGGTTTGAGGGTCCATGGCAAAATGCCACATCTATATCATAATAACATATATCATGTATATAATTATTATATATATAATATATAATATATATCATGTTGCACTTCAAATGTTCAAGATCTGCCAGATCTGCCAGAGGTCCTCGGCTGTGGGTGCCACGTAGGATGGCGACGTCAGCGGTGTCAGCGCGAAGCGCTTCTCGGCCGCGGCCTCGAACGGCAGAAACGGCGATGGCCTCAGAAGTCCTGGCGCGATCGGGATCCGATGGAAGAACTTTCGGAAACAGTTGGGGCATTGGGGCCCATTGGGTCTAAAAATTTGACATTGGGACATTGGGACATTGGGAAAACAAAGTGATTGGGGATTTATATACAATGCCAATACAAAGTGAATTGACAAAGTGAAGAAACAAAGTGAAGAAATTGTGAAATTGTGAAGAAAGCCTTGATCAAATTTGATCAACTTTCTGATTTCTTGTGTCAGTTCTCTGAGTTTCTTTTTCAGATCTCTTCAGATGACAGAATCCATGGGATTCAGTGCCTTTTTCAGATTCAGTTCCGGCATGCTCCGGGTCCGGCGTCCTGCACTTGCGGCAACCCGACAGCTGTGAACTTTCAACACCTCTTGAGCGCAGGTCGAGTTCGTGGCAGCCGGGCTACCGCAATGTGCAAAAAGCGCCTCACAGCTGCAGGAAAATCTTGGGAAAGATGGTACTGGTATGTACTGGTGACAAACATATTTGAAAAACATGTGGTGACCCATATATCTCATGTAATCTCATATGGTCGCATGATGTGGTCTAACAGATTCTAACAGTTTGGAGAAAACAACTTAGAAATATAGGCAGATTAGACAGTGACGTGCAGTGACATGCAGTGACATGCAAGCAAGGCACATAGTGACAATTCACCAACTGGTGCATTTGCTCGTCTTCTTTCAACCATGGTGCCGGATCAAAGCCCGTGTCCCCAGGTTTCGTGCCTTGTGACAGGAGAGATGAGTCTAACATGAATCATGATGCATCACTATGCATCATGATGAATCTCATTGAATCTCAGAAATAACTTTAACAAAATACTTTACCATATGTATAACTTTTCTCCTTCAAAAGCACAAAGAGACAATGCTGGTGACACGTCCGACACGACGACTCAGGGGCTGTGTATTCATTTGACTTCTTTTGGCAAAGGCTTTCGACAAAGAACATCTGAAAAGAACCTCACCGCACCCAAACAGCGTGCAATCTAAGGTGCTGTTGCAGATCTTCAGTGTGTCATTGGCACCGAAAATCCATTTCACTTGGTTCATGTGCCAAGCCCCAACAAAGTACTCCAAGTCTCCTCAGTTGAGCTCACAGGGCGCCTTTTGCATGCTTAACTACGTAGGGAAAACAGGACAGGATTCTGCCGATATCATGCTGAGGATAAATCCTCCGGCATCCAGCACGTTCCAATGCACCAAGCATCTGTGAACCAATGCAGACAACCAGTTGGTGTTCTCAGTCGCTTCCCCTCCAGCGAATGTGGTCTCTGCGTAGAACACGGAGTTGGGGTAGCGCCTCGACCAAGCGGCAAAAAAACAAGGAACACGCCTATGATCCACCCTGAATATCCCTGAATATCACCTTGGGAGGGCTCAAAAGTCTGAAAAGTCCAAATTGGACTTGGTTTACTCCTTTCACTCCTTTCACTCGTCATCTGCAGCATTTCCATATATTTCCTCCTGAGATCTGGACTCTGACATGGCTTTGGCAAAGCGTCGATGAGGGCAGAGGAAGGTGCTGTCTGAGATGACCTCGACATGGACACGTCTGGACGGAAAACTTCGAACAGGTCTTGCACCTCTCCAAGGCACTCAGCACGACTGAAGTAGGCAAAGCCAATCATGTTGTATCACCGTCTGCATTACGTGTTTGATTATACTCGTATCATTGATCATGTTGGATCTATAAATTCAAGAGAAGTCAGAGAATCTCAACCGTCTCAACAGGCTCAATCTCTGTACATTGAGGCTGAAACACGGCTCATTCGGTAGAAGGGGGCCATGTTTCCACGTCCGTGCCTCAGAATCTTTTCTGTTTGCTTCGACCTCTAAATTCTGTCTTCATTTGGAAATCAAAATCTCCCACTTTGCTTTGCTTTGTCTCCTTGGATTGTCTTGGTATGTTTCTGTCGGTCGTGAGTCAAGTGACGGATAGATCTTGATGATGGATGAGTTGAAAGCCCATGTCCTTGGAGCGCACGTATCGCAAGAGTCGATTACTTCATCTCAATGAAATGCTCAATGAAATAATGAAATGCTGCAACATGATGCAACACGTACATATCGAACAACCTTGAAGGATTTGAGATCCGCTTGTTGTCGTGTTGTGAAGGGAATACGGAGCTGGTGTTAACTTCAGCATTGAGATCCCCAAGTGCAAAATACAGGAGCACCATAACATAAAGGTCAGCCGCTCAAGATTGGAATTGTCATGGCTGGTGGTAGTGTCCACATTCTTCCAGGCTTCCAGGGACTTGTTTCATCTTCCAGTTTCAGAATGAGTTCAAACAGAAACACCCCAGTTTGTTGAATTCCTCAAGAATGAGTCCAAGAATGTCAACAAGCCCCGCAGCTGAAAACAGGGAAAATACAACCACTCACCAAACCAGTGACTCAAGCGAGTGAAACAATTGTAACAACTGAAAATAGCAAAATTCAGAAATTCAATAGATATCAATAGTCCCGAGAATGGGCAAACGTGGTTGGTGAGCCATGCGGGAACATGTGTACCACGGCCTGAGACTTGGTAGGGACTTTCACCTCTTGACTCCTGACATCTCCTGACATCTCCTGACATCTCCTGACATCTCCTGAGCGATTTGCTGAGTGACATGATCTCATCGGTTGCAGCGTGGGTGAGCTCAGGCCCCTGCAAAAGCACTGGATGTCAACATTCTGATTTGGGAATGGCAAACCCCACTTCCATGCAGGAGCCAGCAGTGTAGGTACTGCAGGTCCATATAAGTACATCATGCCGCAGTTTACAATTCATGGCCACACAATGCCAAACAGCTCTGTATGTTTCTTGCGCATGCATGACATATGTAGAGCTCCCCCGTGGCCTTATACCAGGGATACGCGGCATACATCAGACCGGCGAAGATGGTGCCCTCATCGGTGCCGTGGTCCAGGAAGACCTCAAGAGCTACGCCATGTGTGGGCCGACGCAATCGACACAATTCTATACTTGGGATTACTTGGGTACTTGGGGGACTGAGGCAAACCCGTCTTGAAACGAATGACGTAAATGGAAACATGTGCTTCATAAGAAAAACATATGAAAAAACATACGAAGTCTTACCCAGAGATCTTTTCATCCTGACGCCCAACGAAACATCACTTCACCTTCGCTCCCAATTACTTCACCTTCCCACGACCATTCCCCGGCCTTTGCTGGATTTACCTGCGGGAGACTTCAATTGTCAATGCTGGTGAATGGATGTGAAACGCGAAAGATGGACCGAACCACGATTTGGGAACCCGCAGTGACCGCAGTGGAAGTAAACGCCATCTATATATCCATCACCATCTTTTCCAACCACAGCTGTCACAACATGATACAACATGCACATCCAAACAAAGCCACTCTTGAGGCCACTCTTGTCATTGTCTTGCGCTACATTGATTCACATGATTTGTCCAAGCATGGAGACCCAAATGGGAGGAACAAGAACAATAAGTCAATCAAGAACACAACTAGTAACAACTACCAGTAAGAAAAACTAAAATTAACTGAACTGAATTCACTGAATGAATCTAATGAGTTCCGAGGAGTTAAAAAAACGAAGTTCAGCGCTCGAGCCGCTCGAGCCGCTCGCCTGTTGCGCTTCGTAGAGCTGCCGCGGCGGCGCTGGAAGGCCACGAGGAGAGCCGTCCACCACGAAGCTCACGGGCAAGGCCGGCCACAGCGGCGGAGCCGTGATGGGCAGATCCTGGGACCACTTCAAAAAACAAACACAAAACAACAACATTACAGATATCAGTTATATTATCAGTTATGTTATCAGCTATATTATCAGTTATATCAGTTATATACAAATATAACAACATTAACAGTTTATTATAGTTTATCAACAAACACATCAACAAACATATCATAACAAGAAAAAAAGGAAGCACCTCACATTTGCCGACAAAACACTTGACTCACTTCACATCTAGAACACTTGATATCTAAAACGGACCAACCTGCCCAAAAAAGCAGCTCCAATTAAAGAACTTCAATATATGAAGGGTTCACTGCATTTCGTGTAAATTGCTGCCTACACGTGGCCAGCTTTGGAACTTTGGGCTCTTCCACGGAGCTTTAGATCTCGCCAAGCATCGCCCACTTTCAAGCCCACTGACTGGATACCACCCTGGGACTTCAGAGACGTAGGAAAATGTAGGAAAATGTGTAGGAAAACGGATTCAGAAACAACGAGAAACAATGTGGTATCCGATATCCCAGAGATTTCTGATTTCGAATCCTGCCTTGAAGCCCAAAGCAGACCAAGCGGCCTCAGCAATTTTACCTTGGCAACGAGATGAGACGGAAGAATGGCAAACAAATGAGAACCCATGAGACATATCACTCATATGACTCATATGACTCATATCACTCTAACAAACGCGCACAAAAACATACAAAAACCATTGGAGAAACGGTCTGTGAATTCGCTTGTCTGATCTGCCACTTGGGGCCCAACCCAGCAGCAGAAACTGTCTGTGATTCAGTATCCAACGGTCCAACACATGGTATTTCTGTCGCAGTTGACAAGAGAATTTCTATCGTTCTAGGGCCTTTAAAGAACCATATGACCTCCCACAGAGATCTGTAGGGCACTGTAGGGCACTGTGGGGCCTACGGCAACTGATCAAAATGATCGACGGCACCTGCAATGCTCCACTTGCTGAGGCTTTTCAGCTCTTCAAGGTCCTGACGAAGTCGCGAAGCGTGTCAAATTTGATCGACAGAATCTCCGACAGAATCCATCAATATCCCACATCCAATTCATCACAAATTCCCACGGAGGACTCCTATTGGCACAAAAAACCTCAACCAAGAATACATTTTTGGATGCTAGGAGCCTTAGCAACTGTTCTAGTAACCGTTCTAGTGACTGTTCTTGATTGTTTTCTGATAAGTGCAACTCCTGATGAACCGACCCATATTGACCCTTGTGCGGCACAAGTTGTGCCTGATGTACCTGATCCTCAGATGCATTGTAGAACGCCTATCGCCAAAACGAGGGACACAAGAAAGATCAGTAAGCTGGAAAATCCATCCCTTGCCAATGGCTTTATTGATAAAAATCTCAACTACTTCGTATCTGCTTCGGAACTACTTCACATTCTTCATCATTCTTCTAGAACTTCGGACACCGACTCAAATTCTCAGCTGCCTGCCTCGTGAGGTAACTGTCGCAAACACTTGACTTGGTCCGTCTCGTCGCATCCCAACTTCTTGGCCAAGGTCCGGTAGAAGCTGATCGCTTCATCCTGAGGTGCAAAATCAGAAAATTTTGCACTTCAAACATCTTCAAACACTCACGGTTAAAGCACTGCAAACCCTAGTTAACAAATCAGAATTTGCATGACAATCATGGTGTCAGATGCACCGTATCTCAAGCAACTAGCTGTCCTTGTCGGCGTAGTACCAGCCAGTGTCCTTGGTAACCGATGGCAAATATGCAACTAGAACATTTGCGCAGTCTTTGATACATCTTGATATATCTTGGACATTCTCTGGTGAGATTGCTTGCACCACTTTCAGAATTCCGGCGCTGATGGCGATACTCAGTCAGAGTCCACAACAGATTTCTCGGCAGTTCTGTTTTCAGTCCCAAGAAGGACAAGAACCGTCTTTTCTTCTGACACCACCCGCTACCAGTACGGTCACCATGGCTCCAAAGCTGTACCCTCCAAAATCCCTTGGGCGAAGAGATTTCGACTGGCCGGACTCAAGAGATGGAACCTGGAAGAAATGGCAAGTCTGGGCAAAATTCCACACTCAAATCTCCAGTTGCCCTACCAATGGGGAACAACTTTCTCCAACCTTTCTCAGCCTTTCTCCAACTTTTTTCTCCAACTTTTTCTCATCGTGCTAATCCTTGCTACTCCGTGCTACTCGTCCAGATTCGTCCAAGACGCTGCACTGAGAAAGCACCAGAAGAATGACCCAGCAAGGTCACGCGACCTGTCGTGGCACTCGCAGCACCAGCACCACATTGTACAGTTGTGTCATGTTGTGTCATGTTGTGTCCTTGAAAGCTTTCAACCGTCTTTCAACATATTTCAACTTTTTTTTGACAAAGTGATACTTGACCACTAAGTTCAAACAGCAACACAGGAATTCGGAATCTTCATGAATCTTCCACATCTTCCAGCATTGTTCAACACATTTCAGCACCAAATCTCCACTTCAAGGCATCGGACCCACCGCCCCACCTGGATCTCCTCCGAAGGTCTGAATGTTTCGCTGAACCCTTGGGCGAGATTCGAATGGGGAGAAACCGCAAAACGCAAATTGAGTACTGGACCAATGGAATCCAAATTGAATCCAATGGAATCCAATTGACCCTATATCCATGGCATTGCGTGGCATTCCTTGCATTCTTGAAGCACATTCATTCAAATTTCTTGGGGTTGAAGCGCTTGTGAGCGTCTTGAGAGTTTGTAGATCCTCCAAATATCCAAGACGGAATCTTCATACAGCGACTCCAGGGGCTGGTTTGCTTAGCCATTGCAGTCTTTAGAACAATCGCGTGGAGTGTCAAAAACGAAGACAAACTTTCGCATGGTTCTCACGCAAATTTTTTCTTTGGGGCTGCTGACATCAATATTCGAAAATCTCTGCTTCTTCCAAACCGTTTCTTGTGAGATCGTAGAATTGAGTAAGCAAACAAAGCTTAATGGTGACGAGTGTTGCAAACTGGATCATGACGACATGTCCCAGAAGTCAAGCAGAGCGCGACTCCTGCGTTTCCTCCCTCAATTCTAGCAGATTTCAGTAAGATTAGTAAGCTGCTTAAGCTGCTGAAGCTTGCAAACCCAGATCCTGACAGATCCCAACAGCCTATTTTCAGGGAGCAAATCAGTTCCCAGCAGTCTTCCACCGTAGAGTGACCACTGCAGAGCCAGACGTTGATCCATGGCTTCGTAGTTTCCCATAGCACCATCCCCTGCCTGACGGGCCAAAATTCTACAGGAATCCTTCAGATATTCGGACTATTCGGATGGTATTCCACACGTTGATCTGAAGGGGAAGTATCCAATCACCCTACTGTGCAGACATAGGGGTATGGCGGGTATGGGCACGTCTGAGATTGATCATGATTACATGATTGATAATGAATCTAAATTAAGTTCCACTGAATAATACATCACTGCGACGTATCAGGTTGGATTTTCATTTGCTCATCTCGTTGTCCAAAGTCTGGACAGGTGGTATTACCATATTGCCATGCTGTGCTCATTCGGACAGGTCTGCGGAGAATCTTTTTTTTTTGTTTTGTTTATTTCTGTGTCGAAGTGGCCATGGCTGACTGCAATAGACCATGCAAATCCAGAATGCCATGATTTTTGTGAAAGAATGATCAGAATGATGAACAATGCGTTCTGCCATCATCTGCCAGCACCAGCACCTCCTTGGCCAGGTCTTCATGTGCCCAATGTCCCAGGAAGCCGCTGCGGTAGCCCACGCTGATGAAGAGCGCCTCGTTGCGGACCTCGCAGTGAAGATCCACTGATTCGCTGCGCTCTAAGATTGAAAGCAAAATGACCAAAATGATCCATCACCAAAACACGGCCTGCTCTGGATGATGAACAGTTGACATCCATCCAATCCCTGCATCCAATCCTAGCCACTGCTTCTGCCAAGGGACTACAAATCTTGCCGCGTCGTACCAACTTCCTCACCAAGTTCAGCAATCTTGGACTATCTTCTGACCGGTGGGTCGAACTGTGTCCCATGAACTGTTGATCAGGAAAGCTTCCGATCCCTAAGTGATAAAAAATGGGCTTTTGGGTCTGCAGTAAACAACAAACACGATGAACATCGCTAAACTCAAATTACGGCTTTTCATGGCTTTTCTCTACTGAATGGCTTTCTCCACTACCCAAATATTCGCCGCACCTTGAAACCAATTCGTCCCAGTGAAGCCGCCTCTGAAGGGAAGAGGCTGTCAGTGACTTCGGGTTGTTCCATGAGTATCTGCTTCACTCATTTTGACTCGACATGACTCGACAATACGTGTGTTTCATGGTGGAATGGTCCGCTGATATGAGCGGATAGATCATGACATATCATGATCATATTTCTTGAATGCCAGTCAGAAATTGCAGTCGTGTCATGCTCTCGACCTAAGACGACTTGCAGATGCAAACCAACCTTTATGAAAATCTGCTCTTGATAGATGCAATTGCACCACATTACACGAATGCAAGACCTTGGTTCTACTATCTTCTACTATGTTCTACTCACTGGGCAAGGCTTTCATGGTTTCTGCCATCCTTTTCTACCCATTACAGTTGGATCAGTTGGCCTTATTGGTTCTACGAGATTCTACCCACCTGAGGTGCAACCAGCTGTAAGCCCTGCAAGTTATCCTCACCACCATACCCACCATCCACGGCTCCTGGGATCAAAAACACGAAGACAGGTCGAAGCTTTGCTGCCTCAGAACTCCGAAACAAAATGAGCCTCGAACCTTTTCGAGAATGGCATCCTTGGCATTCCATGAAACCATGCTGCTCCTTTGCTGAAGAACTTTGATTTCTTCGATTTGGAAGTTGTTGTGAGCCCACTCCAGTGTTCCCAACGCTGACAGCTGCTTTGTTGGAGGATATTGGAGGCAGAAAGACCTATGCATATGTTGCATGTCCAGCACAAACACAGTGCTGTGACGCCATGGCCGCCGAAAAGAAATGTTCTCAGCCCAGTGGGTAATCCGAACCTGAGAAGAACCAAAACGAAAGGCAGTGCCCTTTTTGTACCGCATGTGGGTAAGCCGAGGTGAGGAGCTGCTAGTCTCGTTGGCGCCTGGCAGAACCGGAGTTATGGATTGGTTTGGCAAGATGTGTCTGGATGAGGGAGAAAAGATACATATTTAGTGAGTTAAACATGTATATCAGATATGAGGAATGAAGCAAATGTCACTGGAAATAATCAGCATGTATAAACCCATATTTTATCTTACCAATGACCATTGTTGGCCACAGTAAGGCAAGATGAGATATGCACAATCTCTGGACATTGATAGTATTGGGGATGTACATTTGGGATCTGTTCAGAGATGAGTATTTTCAAGACTGTTTAGAACTTGCGCGAATGACAAAGATCAATATGTTCCCAGAGCTGTTTCATACGGAACCATGTTGAATCAGCGTCATAGTACCATTTTCCGCCTGAAAATTTTTTCCCGAAACGGAAGCCTTGGTCAGTCATTATTCAGTATTGGTACCATTGATTGTACACAAATCGATGTTCCTGCCACATGCATTTCTCTTCATTGGGTTCTCACCCCGAATGATAGCCGAGGTCGCAGAGCCTGTACCAAGAGCTATGTTTGCTTCACGCAGCGCCAGGTACTGTGAGCAGACCTGCCGTCAGTGGCGAGACTTGTGTATAACTGTGGGTTTGACATCTCGACTGGCTACAACTATCATGGCCAATGTTGATGTTTGGTATCGGATAGAAGGAAAATGGTTTAACAACAGGTATTGATAAGAGAATTGGAGGTATGTAACGACGAAGACACAAGGCTCGTGGCAGCGGTGGACATTTGTTTCAGGCAGCGTCATGACGATGTTTGTAGTCGCTCAACGTCGGGCTCGACGCACAAGCTTTGGTGCTGGTCGAGCAGGTTGATGGGAAGCTAGCAGCGGGAGAGTGACCGTATCACGTAGATACTGCAGATTGTATCCTCGCAGGATATTGTCGAGCTGCTGAAGAGTCGTATGTTCCTTTGTGTGGAACATGTTGTAAGCAGAACGTAAATGTTCTGGCCTGGGCTTGTTCAGAGCAGTAAAGTCAGGGAGACGCAGGAGAAGGACGTCGTCTATGTTTTGGACCCGGCTGAGCAAAACGAAGCAAGCGATCCAGTAGTCATCCTTGGCGTTTAAGGGGTGTTAGATTGATGCCAAAGAGAGCTAGAAATTAAGGCAGCACAGTGGGAATAGTGAGAAACAGTTTGCGGATAGAAAACGACGAGGCACTAATTTCATTTGTGGAGGTCTTGCGAGATCCAGAATGATAGCAGGTAGGGTTTGTCCTTGGAGTGTGTAATGGGTGAGTGCAAAGAGGTTGGTGGCGGGTATTTGGCATCGATGCAGTTGTAGGAAGGCTTTATTGTCTGCGTCCAGAAGTGCGTGATCCACGTGGGCATCCCGAGGGTAGAATCGCCATGGTTGGGTTGTCGGCGTCAACAAGAAACGTCCGGCTCCGAGTGCAGCATGTTTCACCCAAGTAGCATTAGGAACGCGCAGGAGCAATGCTTGTGGCAAATACAATAAAGGATGTGGAGGCAATGTCGGGTCGCGAGGAAACGACCTTAGTTGCGATGAGGAGACATGGAGAAAGGCGAATAAGGAAACGATGTTTCAAGCTGAAAAGTGGCAAGCGACGGCTCAGTGTCTGCCAATACGATGTCGTCGACGATGACAGTGCAGCCACGAACGACGCCGAGTTCTGGACAGAGTTTGGTCTCAAGGCAAAGTTGAACACCAGGATATAATGCAAGAAAACCAGGTAGATTTGCAGTTGCAGATAGAGTGTGTACTGCGGCTGCCTCCTGTGCCAGTGTCGGATCCAGTGTCACGTTGCGGTTCCCGAAAGAGCTGCGATCTGCAGCGACAGCCAAGACAAGCCGGTGCCCGGCGGATTGAGCGGCTTGCTGGGCTCTTTGCATGGTCTTGCAAACACGGATTGTATGCCGCATGACACCGACTGTGCAGGTGCTGGGGTGGAATTTGGGTTGGAACATGCGAGCATCTGCAGTTTGAAGGAGTCGATGGTGTAAATGTTGGCAGGACTCGTGGGAGATGCCTTGATCGGAAAGTAAATCCTGTAGAAGTTGTTGCAGTGGACCTCTGCAGCGATGGCTTTCCTCGAGTATCAGGACTGCGGAAATAGATCGCCAAAGGGCTGCGCCTGCGGCAGCGTGCATCAAGGAGGGCGAAGAGGCTGAGGTTGGTGTTGATGCGTCTGGTTGAGTGGCACGTGGTGGGTTGATCAGGCAGGAAGCACCGATTGGAGGAAGTTGGTGAAAGTCACCATCTAATCGCAGAGCAAGACCTCCCCATGGAGTAGTATGTAAATTGAATATTTGGCGACAGCGCAGATCGATGAATGCTAGGATTTCGTTGGAGATCATGGACACCTCGTCGATGAAAAATGTTGTGACTTTGTGCCAGAGGCGAATCAATGCGTCTTTCTGGGAACCAAGGGAAGAAATTGCTGATGCCGAAGCAGTGCTGAAATCAAAAGGTAAGGCCAAAGCGGCGTGCAGAGTTTGTCCTGCGACTAGACGTGCGGCCCGATGAGTGAAAGCAGCCTGCAGGGTGGAAGAAGGCAGAAAGAAGTGCAAGAGGTCGGCGGCGCAGTTGGTGATGAAAGTTTTGCCAGTTCCTGGCCCGCCGAGAAGCAACGATGCCTGAAATGGTGGAAGGGCAGTAGTAAACCCCCAAGCACGATTCAGTGTGGCTTGCAGCCAGGCTCCAACCAAGAGCAAGTAGGCGGCTTGTTTCAAGTTGATGGCGCCAACGGTGTTGGAGCATCGGCCGTCTTGGATCCATGCGGTGATGCGATCGAAAACAGTTGTTTCTGTTTTTGGGAAAGGAGGCTGAGGGAAATTGCTGCCCGCAGGATGCGATTGCGAGGTTGGTGGAGTAGGCAATGCTGGGTCCCACGTTTTCTCATCGCGTTGCAGTTGACGCAGTGAAAGATGAGATGGAAAAGGCCAGCCATGATAAACGTCGGCAGGATCACATGGTGAGTAAGATTGCGTGCCCACAATTGCGTCATCGAGTATGCGGAAGAGAATGACGAAGCTTGCGGAGGCTGGTGGAAGAGGCCATAATTCGGAACGGGACAGTGGCAGTAGAATGTCCCACGTTGCTGCAAATGATGGTGAAGTTCGAATTGAAGCTGAAGCTGAGGCCTAGCGTAAAAGTTGCGATGGGATAGGTGCCACAGTCGTGGATATGTTATATGAATCCCCCGTTGAATTAAGTCAAAGGGTTGTTGTCAGCAATTTTATAGTGATCAACCTAGAGACGTTGACCTCCTCAAACTTATAGATATTGCATGAGGGGGATTTATATTATATAATTCCTTGTTAGAGAAAAGGAGCGGAAGGTAGAAGCTTGAAAAGGAATAGGCTCCGGAACGCTATTTGGGATGTCTTTCCAAGAAGTATGGAAGGGAAATTGTTCCCATAGTGGACAGGAAGCAAAGTGATTCCTTTAAGGCGCCTCATCGGGAAAATCATGTGGATCCAGGTCGCCGTAGTCTATGTCGTAGGTTTGATCGCAGCTGACGTCAGAGTCGGAATCAAGTTGCCCAGGAGGTGGACCATGTTCCACGGTTGTGGTGTCGGGGACGCCGTGCAATTCATCAGGATTGCAACGGAGTTCGCGATCAGCAGTTGTGGGGTCAGAGAGCCCCATGTTGTCGATGTGGTTGATGATATGCAGTGTACGTTGTGCCCAATATTCAGCACTCAAGGGGGAAGCACGTGTAGAAGGTGATGGTAGTGAAGCAAGGAGACCAGCAAACCAAGTGTCAAAGGCTTCGGACCAGCTGGCGCAGCCGACAGAGCTGGGAAGCAATTGGTGGAGATCAACCCAAGGCTTGAACAGAAGCAAAAGTAAGAGACCGCGTTTGTTGGCATCTTCTGTAACCGGTGGAATTCGCGGTCCCATCAAATGTGGTATTTTCCAGGCAGTTGCTGTCAAGACTTGCTGTCGAAGCGAAGTTGCGCGTGGATGCTGCGGTAGGAAGGGAATGTTTCCGGGAGTTTTGAATGTTGTTTTGGATGTCGGAATGCGTGTGACACCAGCTGCGTAGAAGTAGAGGGGCCAACCTTGTAGATCGTCGCCGCGAAAAGGATAATCATCACTGGAGGGAGTATAGAACTGAGGCTGTCTGAAGTGGTTGTTGGTGTCAGAGCAAGCTTGAATGCTTTCTTCAGGGAAGATGAGAACTGAAGATGGCGTTGCGGCTTCGACGGAAGCGAGGTGTGAGCCATCAAACGGTTCGGAGCTCTCGAGTCGAGCAGCCAGATGGTAGAAGTAGAGTTTGTGGAAGGAATGTGTAGAATAAGCCTCTGGGTAGCCCAACAGGTAAGAAATCATTTCTTGGACTGACTTGTGTATACGCCGTTGGCAGGACATCAGCAATTTGGACAGGGTTGAGCGTGCTCGAGCTTTGTGGTCCATGCCTGCATGAGCTGCGCCGAGGTCTTGCTGCAGTTTGTGTGTTGCGGTATGAAGTAAGGTCCACAAGGAAGCCAGGTGGGGTTGTGTCTTTGTAGTGTAGCAACTGACATAAAACACCAAGGTGGACATGTTCTGAGCCATCCGTCGGCGAATCAATGCAGCAGGATTGGGTGATTGGAGGTAGTCGGCTGGAAAACGTAGAAGGGTGGAGATGTCATGGTTGCATTTGCAAGTAGCCAGTATGATAGGGTTCATGCGACCGAAGAACTGATGGTGCCGTTCTGTTTGAAATGCGTCGATGTGAGGTGGCTTGGTTCCAAGCAGAGGCTTGGGGCAAAGCTCAATACCGTGACAACGTTCCCAGACATGAAAGCCAAGAGGTAGCCAATGCCAGAAAGATAGCCTACAATAGCCTCTCTTTCCAATTTTGCCCTTGTAACACGTCTTTGGTTGGCAGCAGTGAAGAAGACCGCTGTAAAGCACAGAAGCACGTAGATCGTAGAGGAGCATGGATGCAGTGTCTGTGTGCAGTGGGGCGATTGTGGTTGCAAGGTAGTCCAAGCACCAAGGAACAAAAGGCTTTTGCACAGGCATGTCGAGAGCGAATGGGCAGTCGATGAAATCATGGGCATACAGGAAATTGTTGGGGTCAGCCGCAAACCAATGATCGCTGGCAGCGACGAGGTGTGGCCGGTAGTGTGGATGCATGAGCTTCATCTGTGCATCGGAATATGGCAAGGGCCGTAAGTTTTCCAACGTTGAGCGTGGCAAGTCAAACATAGGGGGGATGGCTTCGAAGGATGTGACGACGATGGAGTTGATCCATGCCCAAAGTCGCTCTTCTAGAAGAGGGAGTTGCGCAGCAAAGTTTTGCACTAAGACATGGGGTCCTGGAAGCCGTAACAGAACAAGAGGAAATGAATATGTAGGCTGCCTCTTTGCTGTGGTTCGATGACACCAAAAGCTGCGCTAAGTGGACCGAAGATGCCTTGCCCGTCAATGGAAGCAATGCCATCTGTTGGAAGCTGCTGGGCGGATGGAACCACTTTCAATAACGTGGAGAGGAAAATGTTGACATGTAGATGGAAAGCTTCGACTGCTGCCGTCGGATCAAGCGCGACCATTCGCCACAGATTGGCGTCACGGAGGGCACACAAAAGATGCTGATCAAGTTGCACCTGTGGTAATGGTGTGGGAGGTGTTGTCAAACCACGTCGCCAGGTAAAGGGATGCAAGACGTCAGCAGGATTGAACGTAACAAATAGCGAAGGACAACCAAAATAAGTGATGAGAGAAGTCAGTTCACCACGCATCATGCGTCGAGCTGCGTCCGTGCAATGAATTTGTCCTTGCACTGCTTGCAAGCAGCGAAGGATGGCTTTCATGGCATTTGGAATGTCATGAGAGCGCAATGCATCAGGGATGGAGCCATGCCTGAGCAGACAAAGGAGTTGTTCGGTAGCATGACAAGTTGTAGATGGTAGAAAGTCGAAGAAGGCAGATAGCAAGTGAAAGGAAGGAATGAGGAATTATATTGATCATGTATGTATGTAAAGATTGTAAAGGGAGTAAAGGTAGTGAATATGGAGGGAAAAATGGATGCTAGTGAAAACCATTGCTGCAGAGAAGGTACTCTCCGACAGTGCTTGCTACTTGCGTCCAGTCAGTAGCTTGAAGGTTGACAAAGGAAGGGAGTTGCTCTCGGAAATGTGGGGCTTGGACTCGTATGCGAACTGCGCGAAGGAGACGGCGTCTATGCAGCACAGAAAAGAGAACAGAAATGAAATCCAAATCTTTTCTCGGATGAAGCTGAAGGGGCCGATCACGTCGTAGGAGCAAAAGTTTTCCCCAGTCATGATCAGAGAGATATGTTCGACGTGGTTGGCCATCAATACCATCTCCGTATGGGAATTGCAGTGGGAAACATGCCGTCCAGAAGAAAGGGTCGTAACTGTTAAGCGGTTCGTCGGCATGGGGGACAACGACATAGAGCTTTTCTTTGCTTTGGGCGGGCCGGGTCTGATGGATGAGATCCTGTTCGAAAGAGCGATGGTTGCTGCTGGAGGCTAGGGATCGAAGAGCGTATTGTACTACGTGAACATCAGCAGCGGCAGAAACAGCATTGGAGGTGGCATGACGCTCGTAGCGCTCGCAAGCTAGCAGAGCAGTATTCCAAAGTTGCAAAGGGTCTGTGTGGTCGACGCCAGGGTCAAGAACAGCAGCATGAATTGCGGAATCTGTTCCACCAGCAGTAGATGCGTCAACTGGACCAAATTCCCTGGTCAAAGATTCTTGGCTGACTTGAGCAAGAGCAGCCCAGGCTGGTGGCACACCGTTAGCAGGAAGGTCTTGCAAGGATGACATGTCAATGGTGATGTCAGCATAGTAAGGGTTGTGTTGCGTGAGCCAGAGCAGAGCGCGATGGACTGCGCTGCGTCTCACGACGAACTCCTTGGAGAAATGCAAGTTGCTTTGCAATGCATCTGTGAAGAAGACACTCAGGTAGTCAGAGACCTGCGCTGCAGAGACTGGAAGTTGTGAAAAAATTGTAGCGGCATTCTGCGGGAATGCGATGGCACTGGTAGTGCCAAGCATGCCTTGTTGGCGTGCTTCTGGGTCACCAGAAGGAGTCAATGTGCGGAGCCGACGGACAGCAAACCCTCGTGCAATGAAAAGTTGTTCCCCAAAGGACAATGACTGGAGTTCCTCTGGTGCTGGTAGACAGAGATTGTTGTTGGCCAATGCAGATGGAGGCAAGGTGGGCGACGCTTTGCGGAAAGACCGAGCACACGGGACACATGCCAGGCACTGCAATGAGGCAGTTGGATCGAATGTTGCGATTTTCCATGTTTCTTGAGCATCTGGTGCAAGGTGCAGGAGCCAAACGTCCTGAGGCAAAAGTAATAACCGAAAACTCGCGCCGGGAACTCTGACTGGCAAAAAAAAGGAAATATATGCAGATTTGACAGGAAAGGAATCTGATGACCGACCGATTTTGTTGGGAACTGTTATTGGCAGAAAAAGGAACATATGTAAATTTGGTAGGTAAGAAGCAGATGCATCAGGATTGACCTCTATAGGAGCAGGTACGAAGAATTCTTGTAGTCGTTGGAGTGTTAGGCCACGGAAAGCTGGTGGTACATCGAGAGTGGCATAGTTGGCAAATTCTTTGAGGAAAAGAGTTTCAGAAAGTAGGGGATGCAGCTGAGCAAGGTCGCATGGTGGGGCGCGGAAGTCCAGCAGTTCGAAGGTCATGTCCCAGATTGGGCACGCGCAGATGCCGCAGAGGCGGGGTGGTTGTAAACACTGATGAAACTGCTCATGGTATTCCTTTGCATGCGCCAGGAGTATGGAAGCTGGAATAGCTGAAGGCCACTTTTGAGCAGATTCTGCCAGGCGCCGAGAGCGAGCAGTGGAATTTGGGGCTGGTTGTACATCTGTGGAATAGAATGTCGGTTCTGAAGCGGTGGTAGCAGCTGCTGTTGCTAGGACTGCAAGACGTTCTGCTGAAGATCGGCACCAGAAATCCCATTGCTCTGCAGGGTATTGCATACAAACATCGAAACAATGTAAAAATTTGTCTAGGGCATCACAGGTCGAGTAGCCAAGTAATGCAGTAGTTCTGCTGTGACGATGAGTAGATGTGCTGGAATTGTTCGTCGCCACCGTTGGTCTTGATAGCGGCGCAGTAGTGTGATCTGGTTTGCATGGGTACCTGAGATCTCTTGAATCGTTTGCCATAGATCATGGAAGGCATCCGTCGACCAGGCTTGTTGTTGGAAACAAGATGTTTGCTGCAACAGTTCGACAGTCTGCGCGAAGAAATCTAGGCGTGGCCCCAAAACCAAGCAAAACCAAGGACGAGCGGCATATTCACACATTTTCCAGTGAAGGTCACATGGTTGGGAGAGGATCTGTCGTGCTTCTGCTACGTTAGGGACTGTGATGAGAGAGTAACGACGTCGGAGGAATAGAAACACTTCAGCGAAGTACTGGTAGCGTGGAATGTTGGAGCGGTGCCATCGAAAGTTCCCGGCAGGAAAAGCAGGTGCCTTGATCCTTTGACTCTCTATATTAATCACACCATTTGAGGTGGGATAATCTTTGACGGAAATTAAAGCTGCATGCCAGAGAAACTCAAAGTCGGGTACGGAGAAGACCTCACTCTGGATTTCAGGTTGGACGCGAAGAAAATCTCTGATTGCGTTCAGGCGAGCAAGCAAGGCGACGCTGTTGTCGCCGGGGCGGAAGTCACAGTTGTATCTGTGACCCCTGTAGCGAAGCCGAGCTTGAACTTGCTGAGTTTCGGCAGACATCTGTGGCAATGAAAAATGAGTCAAGCTTTGTCTGCTGAAAAAGATCAGATGAAGTTGGGGCAACCTTGAGTTCAGTATGACTGATGTAGAGTGGTGAGCAATGAAATATTAGAGATAAGAATGGCGGGAGTGGAGAGCAGATTCTGGTGTGAATGGACAGTGGACATGTAATGGAGTGAGTGGAAAGCAAGTGAAAGCTAGCTGCTGCAGAAGCGGACATAGATCTGACGCGATTGTGAAATATTTTTGCTGTGGCATCTCTTTGCATTGCAGAGTCCTGTTGCCGTACATAAGTTCGACATCTCTGACATGTCCCCATGAGTGGCTGAGATTAAGAAATTACCTCTGCGTGAGTGGTCCTCTAAAATACTCTGGTTAGCTTCCCGCCTCACCAATGCCAAATTTGGCAATGTCAATGTCGTAATTCTGTGGCTGAGAGCATCTGGTAGCTCCCGTCTCGTACATGGTTTTAGTATGCTTTATATCCCATTTAGGAGCCCGACAAAAACCGGCCCATCTATCCTGACCAATCATCCTTCTCCACTAGAAATGGACTGTTTGAAATCTGTAGCCCATCCTGCAACAATATCAACGCCGACCAAGTAATATTTAATATCTTGGGCTATTCCACAACCCCTTCTTATTTACACGACCATACCTCTAGAGTTGCCGGTTACAAAGGACGAGAGCAGCTCCCGGCCTTGAGGCCATAGTTTTTGGCAAAAAGCTCGGGCGCCCAAAAGATCCTGTGTAGATCTGAGTCCCAATGGATGCTGCTTGGTGATAAGATGTGATATGCAGTTTCAAGATATCCCTATAGTGTCCCCAAATAGATGGTTTTATGGATAGGATAGAAATCATCTAATTGGGGGATATCCGTAGAGATCTGATGTCGTGAAATCATTCGAAAACTCCAATGAGGCGGAAGTGATGGTCTCCGCATCTCCTGGTACCAGCCTCGGAAATGAAAAGCGATCGTCTCGGAGCACCTCCGCAGTACCTGCCAGATTCCATCAAGGGGTTGGACCCCCAACCGTTGAAGCCATGGCAGCTTCGAAATGATCATCTTTGCGGGTTTATGGACTACACAAATATCAAAATAGCCGTTCCTTATCTTAAATATACAGTGCACATGTGCCATTGTTATACCCTTGCATAAGACATGGTACAGGCCAACAATGAATGGACTTTCAACTGTGGGCTCGTTGAACTCCCCCACCATCCACGGATTCGTCCGTGGAGGAACGCCCAAGCTCTACAGCAATGCAGTGACTGGTCAACTTTTGTGTCCAGTTCCCATGCCAAATACATGGGCTGACCAGTAACACGGCAAAAGGTGTGACCTAACGCCTGATAAGCAAAAGGTCGCTGCAGACGGCGCTGAAAGGTACCCTGCGAACAGCCGATCCAAGTGATCAGCTTGGATGAAGTTCAGTATTATCCATAAGATTTCAGGAGTTCAAGTTCAAGATGACAAGAGAAGGCAAGAGAGGAGTTCAATTCAAGTAAAGCAAGAGCAAGTCAAAGATTTCAAGGTTCAGAAGGAGGTAGATCAAGCCAAGCAGCAAGAAGATCATGATGCAAGCCAGAAAGTTCAAAGGAAAGCAACGCCACAGCAGCTAGGGGATATCCAAGTCACTAGTTCAGACAAAGAAGCAAGGTCACGAATTCAGAGATTTGAAGACATGCTGACATGCTGATATGCTTGACTTTCGTGAACTATTGGCGGCACCATCCCTGCTATGGGTCCGAACCATTGGCCCAGAGTTTAGCCCAGAGATATCTCTTGAATCGTTTGCCATAGATCATGGAAGGCATCCGTCGACCAGGCTTGTTGTTGGAAACAAGATGTTTGCTGCAACAGTTCGACAGTCTGCGCGAAGAAATCTAGGCGTGGCCCCAAAACCAAGCAGAACCAAGGATGAGCGGCATATTCACACATTTTCCAGTGAAGGTCACATGGTTGGGAGAGGATCTGTCGTGCTTCTGCTACGTTAGGGACTGTGATGAGAGAGTAACGACGTCGGAGGAATAGGAACACTTCAGCGAAGTACTGGTAGCGTGGAATGTTGGAGCGGTGCCATCGAAAGTTCCCGGCAGGAAAAGCAGGTGCCTTGATCCTTTGACTCTCTATATTAATCACACCATTTGAGGTGGGATAATCTTTGACGGAAATTAAAGCTGCATGCCAGAGAAACTCAAAGTCGGGTACGGAGAAGACCTCACTCTGGATTTCAGGTTGGACGCGAAGAAAATCTCTGATTGCGTTCAGGCGAGCAAGCAAGGCGACGCTGTTGTCGCCGGGGCGGAAGTCACAGTTGTATCTGTGACCCCTGTAGCGAAGCCGAGCTTGAACTTGCTGAGTTTCGGCAGACATCTGTGGCAATGAAAAATGAGTCAAGCTTTGTCTGCTGAAAAAGATCAGATGAAGTTGGGGCAACGTTGAGTTCAGTATGACTGATGTAGAGTGGTGAGCAATGAAATATTAGAGATAAGAATGGCGGGAGTGGAGAGCAGATTCTGGTGTGAATGGACAGTGGACATGTAATGGAGTGAGTGGAAAGCAAGTGAAAGCTAGCTGCTGCAGAAGCGGACATAGATCTGGCGCGATTGTGAAATATTTTTGCTGTGGCATCTCTTTGCATTGCAGAGTCCTGTTGCCGTACATAAGTTCGACATCTCTGACATGTCCCCATGAGTGGCTGAGATTAAGAAATTAACTCTGCGTGAGTGGTCCTCTAAAATACTCTGGTTAGCTTCCCGCCTCACCAATGCCAAATTTGGCAATGTCAATGTCGTAATTCTGTGGCTGAGAGCATCTGGTAGCTCCCGTCTCGTACATGGTTTTAGTATGCTTTATATCCCATTTAGGAGTCCGACAAAAACCGGCCCATCTATCCTGACCAATCATCCTTCTCCACTAGAAATGGACTGTTTGAAATCTGTAGCCCATCCTGCAACAATATCAACGCCGACCAAAGGTAATATTGAATATCTTGGGCTATTCCACAACCCCTTCTTATTTACACGACCATACCTCTAGAGTTGCCGGTTACAAAGGACGAGAGCAGCTCCCGGCCTTGAGGCCATAGTTTTTGGCAAAAAGCTCGGGCGCCCAAAAGATCCTGTGTAGATCTGAGTCCCAATGGATGCTGCTTGGTGATAAGATGTGATATGCAGTTTCAAGATATCCCTATAGTGTCCCCAAATAGATGATTTTATGGATAGGATAGAAATCATCTAATTGGGGGATATCCGTAGAGATCTGATGTCGTGAAATCATTCGAAAACTCCAATGAGGCGGAAGTGATGGTCTCCGCATCTCCTGGTACCAGCCTCGGAAATGAAAAGCGATCGTCTCGGAGCACCTCCGCAGTACACCCGGACGTGAAAGTCAGTGCATATGTGGAACCAAGGTAAAAACTGCATGGGACGCCGCGCATTCAGGAAGTCAAACAAGTCAATGCAACCAGGTCTAAAACTGCATGGGACGCACTATGTAGAAGTGTTACTTTTAGATCCCTGGCAGTGCACTTTTCTATTGGCAAATTTTCCAAATCCCCATCAGGACGCGTGTGCACAGTTAGGTCCCATAATCTTAAAAATATATGCTAAATTTTCTAAATCCCCATCAGGACGCGTGTGCACAGTTATGTCCCACAATCTTAAAAATATATATCCACGGATGTTAAACACCATGTGGACGCTTATCCAAACATGCACATTGATACCTACGCCATTTACTAGAACTTGCGCCAGCCGTATGGCACACCGCTTACGCCAGACATCACTAATCTTCCGCCAGGTGGAAATCCTATTGGCACACCGACGGTCAAAGTGGGCTAATTCTGAGGCAGGCAAAAGCTTCCAGCCCTTTCACAAATCTCTTGCTTCAGCTGCAGGCAAGAGCAAGGAGAGAGAAGAGGAGACAAAGGGCGAGTAGAGGGGAGACAGAGGGGAGACAAAGGGACGCAAGCTTGGCAAACAAGTATACAATTGCCACGACTTTCATCTTTGGGAGTATAGTGGGTAAACCCAAAAACATATGACAGGTAAGCGTCGTGTGCCTATGCGAAGTGCCAAAAAATACATCAGTAAGTTAAAGTGATAGGCGCTGCCCATGCGGGCCATTCCCCATAGGCACTTGTTATAACATCGACCCAGTATTCGTCGGTGTTTGTATGAATCTTGCGCAACAGAGCGAGCCACAAGTGATGTACAAAACTCCCAAAACACAAGGGAATAGCCACAACCATCTGCATGGTATCCATGAAAAACTCACGATAAACCATCAATTGGAGAAAACACAAACATGCTAAACACCAACTGGACGCAACATCGCACCGACTTCCAGAAATTTCTCCCCCACCTAGGACGCACATTTCATTGAAACGCATTGACTTCCACAACTAGGAGTACCTGCCAGATTCCATCAAGGGGTTGGACCCCCAACCGTTGAAGCCATGGCAGCTTCGAAATGATCATCTTTGCGGGTTTATGGACTACACAAATATCAAAATAGCCGTTCCTTATCTTAAATATACAATGCACATGTGCCATTGTTATACCCTTGCATAAGACATGGTACAGGCCAACAATGAATGGACTTTCAACTGCGGGCTCGTTGAACTCCTCCACCATCCACGGATTCTTTGTTTAAGTCCGTGGAGGAACGCCCAAGCTCTACAGCAACGCAGTAAGGTCGTGACTGGTCAACTTTTGTGTCCAGTTCCCATGCCAAATACATGGGCTGACCAGTAACACTGCAAAAGGTGTGGCCTAACGCCTGATAAGCAAAAGGTCGCTGCAAACGGCGCTGAAAGGTACCCTGCGAACAGCCGATCCAAGTGATCAGCTTGGATGAAGTTCAGTATTTCAAGAGATTTGAAGACATGCTGAGATACTGACATGCTTGACTTTCGTGAACTATTGGCGGCACCATCCCTGCTATGGGTCCGAACCATTGGCCCAGAGTTTAGCCCAGAGATTGGGTGGTTTGGGCGCTCAGGAAGTTTGGCCGATCTCGGGCTCAGCCTGCAGCTGACAAGTTCTGGGGTGACCTTCCAAACCACCAAAATCCACATGAAACATGGGAGAACTGCCAGCTGATGCCAGCTGCCTGCCAGGGATTTCCATAGTGATGTTCAATAAGTCTCTGTTGCTCCACATAATTCGTGTGAGGGCCGTAGCCTGAGCTGCAGGACAGCTGGTAGATGCTGGAACCAACCACCGTGCCAAGTTGCATGAAGACAAGCAAGGGATGCTTGAACTGCTTCGGCATATCGTGAGCATCCAAGTCACTGTGAACTGCTTGGTGCTCCCCAGCCCAATCCAATCAGTACCCCAGTGATTTGGCAACATCCCAACGCAAGAGTCGGACTATGTCACCTTGACACCAATAAGCCAAGGGGCTAAGAACATGCCAATGACTCCCAACAATGCAGAGAACAGCATGATCATGAAGGCTCTTCAACCGGTGTAACCATAGATCCTGCAGTCGTGGCACTTCTGCTGCAGATCTAGGACGGAAAAACTTTTCCCAAAATGGAAGCCTCATGGTAGACAATAAACGGATTCACATGGCGGTGACTCAATGCAATGTCAGTCGTGTTATATTCATCTATCTCGTGAAACATCCGCAGGCTAATGATGCTGATAATCGATATATTCCGGCCATCGTGATTCAAGACCACACGCCAAGCCCTCCAACCGTTTGACATGGTGCAGTCAAGGAACCATGACGTCTCACTCTTGGGTATCAGCGCGTGACCAATACCTGAGAACAAAATGATAACTTGAAGTGATAACGCTGAGAACACAAAATTTCACGGACAAGTCTTCTGCCCAGCTGGTGTTACGATAGGAAACAGTACCGAACTATATATAAAGACAGGACCCAAGTGAACAGCCATCGAGGAGCTGCAACAGAGCGGAAAAACTTTTCCCAAACTGGAAGCCTTATGATAGACAACATAACGATTCGTGACGGCGCTTAGTCAATGTCAACGTTTTGATACTTATTGACCTCATAAGCCCGTTTCGACTGCTTCGTTCCGCCAAGACACCATCGGAACTCTCTTTTCCGTATGGCAGTGGGTTGCATCGTGTAGTGACGGATGATCCAACGGATGTCCAGTTTGTCGGCTCGCGACAGCTTCCGGATTTCGTGCCGTCTCCTTTTTTTAGGTGCCATCCACTTCCCTCAGATACTGCCGTTGCTGGGAGTGTGACAGCCAAAAACGAAGTTTCAGTGGAAAGTCTCAAGTGTGGAAGTTTTGAGTCTGACTGATATGAGGGTTGTAGAAGCAACAGAAATGGGGTGATTGTTTTGACTATTGACTATGGTGCTGGAGAGCGGACAGCACGTACATTGAGGTAGTAACTATTTTTTTGAAGTGGGCATTGCTTCCATGGTATCTCACTGTCAGGTTTTTTTCCAATAAGGGAAGAATCGGGAACATTATCGCAGATGCATTTTTCTTATAGGCTTACATACCTTGTCGGCACTGACGCTACCGCGTCGGCATCATGCTCCGTAGCATGCAACATTGTCTTGAGTGTGTGGCGCTGTATGACGTCAAATGCAATGCAACCAGGGGGCGCAGCTCACAGACCCAGAATTCGCAACAGTCTGGCGTCCACACAGTTAGAGGAATGTCCAGCGCAGTGAGAGCGTCGATGAAATCTTTTCTGCGGCGCCCTTGTGAAGCAAGCCACCTACCATGTAGGAGACCGTGATCAACAACTATTCGCCGAACAAATTCAAGAGCACTTTACAGTGACATTGAACATGAACGATGGAACAGCTAGTGGACATAGGGGAACCATGCCACTATGCATGCTTATAGGCCGAGAGGCTTCAATTCCGTCTGGGTCACCTTGCGTTTCCCCACTGTGGCACCAGTCCCCACGTGTCCACGGACATTGCTACCCCACAGGAAATGGCTATCCAATTCTACCTGCAGCCGGAGCAAGTTGGTTCCTATCCGAAGTATCCCCGGAATGCATCGACTAGCGTTGCTGGTAAAAGCGGTGGTGTGTTTCTTTCCCAAAGATGTGAACAACATTTCGTTACCACTGAGGACAACAGAAGTGAACGACATCATGCCCTCACGCGCCAAGCGTGAAATCCACGCGCGCCTGATAGGCAGAAAATTTGCATCCAGTGCTAGCTAGGAAAAGAGCCACAGTGCCAGTTTGCAGGGCAAGCGCGAAGCTGCGCAAGGTCGTCGTGGCTCGGGCGATGAACACGTCATGACCAATGCCGCGCCCATACGGCCTGCACGTGGCACATGGGCTCAGTAACGTGACTAGGCCCTGTCTGCTGATAGACAATGCAGGGCCATTTCCCCATCGTGTTCTAAACTATGGCCTGTAACTGGTTGGCTGCCCCTTCTCAGCCACCAGAATCGGGAGCATCCAAATCACACGCTCAATGGCCTTTGCTGTGATTGCCTCACCCATTCGCTTTTCGAGGAACTGGAAGTTCGCCTGCGATGGCATCTGAAGCCAAATCTTGCCGTTCCGAATCAACGGGATGGACCACTGTTGTTTGAGCACTTGTCTACTTACGTCTACTCAATTGGGGCCGCGCCCCTCCCCAGCCTTGGTGACGCAAACGAAACGGACCACAACAAGGACCGCCAGAGCGTCCGGGATGTTCAAACCGGCTGCGCGACGAAGCGTGTACCTTGACGTAGCGTCAAGTTCACGCAGTGCCTGAGAAACGCTGGGATAGCAGAATTACAAATCAAGACAGAAGATTCACCATCAACAATTGATGAGAATTCCTTTCCAATCATGTTCGAGCATAAGTATATCAACATGAATCGAGAAATGTGTGCCATCCTCAACCACTAGCTAGCTGTAGCACTGGACATGGTTATATACAATGTTCTACCCACTGAAACTGCCTAGATACGTTACAGAGCCGTCTGGTCGACATGAGGTCGTAGTCTACATCCGGTATGCAGGTATTGGGAGCATTGCCTTCCTTCGAAGAGACGGAATGTTTGGCTACTAAGCTTGTAATACGACTTCTTCCTTGGATCCTTAGGACAATTCATGTCATGATGATTTGTGAAGACCTCTGACCAAAATAACGATAGTACTGCAATGCGCTACGCCGAAGAAATGTTGCAAATTGTCTTATGCCAGTCAGATGCAACAGGGTAATTACCATATCAGCGTCTGTTGTGAATCTTGCTGCCGTGTGGCCATCAAGTTCCGCAGCAAAGTCAGCCGAGAAACGATGGAACTGTAGAAGCGAGCCAGATATTGCTGCCCAACAGTTCGCGCCTGGAGGAGGAGTAATGTGAAGAAAGCTACCCAAGTATGACGCATCCATCCATGCTCATCTGACCAGCATCAAACACTACAACTATTGTTTACCAATTTGCTAGCCTCATTCATTCTAAGGTATCAAAACATATGTGCAGACCTGCAATGCGACTGCACATATATTTGTGGCAGCTATAAGGATCAGCTGCACCTCGCGCCTCGCGTTGGGCGGCAGGCAGTGATGCCTTTGCAACTCTCAGCTGCTCAGCGTGGGCTTCTCTCACCCGCCAGCTGATTTTCTTCTCCTTGAAGGATCGAATGGATAGCCCTCCTGGCAAGAGCGGCCAGACAGGTCTCAGTGGTGCAATGATGCGCATCGCATTTCTTCATGTGCTTGTGGAGATGTGTTTGTAAATTGAAGGAAGTGGTACTCAATGATCAATGTGTAAGTTGACATCAGCATGGTCCTTGATCTCTCGCACCTCTGATCATCGACTGGATTGCCTTCTCTTGGCCTCTCTTTCGGACAGCTCGCGCCTTCGCGCGCCGCGCGTCGCGAGCTTTGTTCCCGCCACTCATGGCGACCAGGAATACCTTTTAGACAGTCTGAAAGATTACACGATTCCACTGTCATATATTAGAACCTCTGCAATGCTTGCCTTCATCAGCATCTCTTACTCAGGACATCTTTGGTTCTGAACATGTCGTAGCCAGCTGATTAAGTCAACCCGTCAGCACCGGAAGGACACGATTAAGCCATCCATCCTGCATGTGAGGAGAGTGGCCAATATCCTTTGGGTTGAAGCAGCTTCGTTGCAGTGTTAACACACAATTCAGCTGGACAGAAACTACAACCAATGCATGCCTTCACTCATAGGTCTAAACAATTCAGCTGAGGAGCTTTCAATTTAAAGGCTGATCTGACACTGATCCTACACGATTCCATGTGGACCATAGTGATGATTTGTGCTCATCAACACGCAAAGCTTGCATGGCGGGACAAGTTTTACCAACCAAAAGGCTTCTTTTATAATAATTCAATATGGTTCTATATGAAGACGATGCAGGACTGTTCTGTTCAGATCAGACTCATATGATTGCACCCAAGCGCGCACCAGTGCCTTTTGTAGCGTGACTGGAGCAAATCTTCTGCACAAGTTGACTCGTTACAGCGTATCTGCAAACTGTCAGGCCATATAAGCAAAATGATGCATCTCTGCTTCAAATTTTCTGCAGGTCTGAAGCTGTAAGCAACAGTATTGGTGCCGCAGTGCCACTGCTCTGTACGGTCGACACGAGAAATGCTGCAGTTTGGATATTCTTATCCAAGCGCATAGATAATAGAATGCAATTGCAACTACTGTAAATCATTCGGCAGCGTCGCCGTCAAAAACTTCCGCAAGAACTCGCCACTCTTGCTGGCTACGTCATAGTGACCTGCCGCGTGATCTTCACAAAATTGTTTCCAGGCCTTGCTCAAGCATGAAATGCTATACAATGAATACCTTGCAATCATGACCAGAATCAACGTTGTTCGGCATACTGTGACTTCTCGAGAGCTAAGCTGATAGCATCCACAGAACCGAGCGATGCATTGGGCAGGCCAACCTCGACTTCGGTTCCAGTGGGCATACACAACAACAAGAGCAGTTGCTTGATTGAATGGACCTTTGAAATGAACATGGTATCGAAGAAATGCTATCATCATAGCATGGAAACAAAGCGTCAGTCTCACAGGTAAGCTGAAGGGAACATAGTGATCTACGCTGTTCGTTCGCAACTGTTTTGCGATCGTACAGATTCTGCATGTCCAACATGAGAGGCACCTTAGATTTCACTTCGACCTTCACGGCTTCGCTCTTACTCGAAGCCTGTCAACTGGATTCAATTTTAGGATAGTTCAAGTAGGATTGTTGCAAAGTAAGCACAGCTCTATCTGACGACACAACACAAACCATACATGCCTCCACTAATTTGCAGGCCTAAATAAATCGGACATTTTGTCATTCAGCCGATCCCGAAACGTTGAACGATATGCAACACAAGCTTTCAAGCCTTATATTTCATGCTACTTAAAGGCTTCCGTTTCGGGAAAAGTTTCTCACCAGCAAAACGTTGCTACGATAATGATTCGACATGGTTTCACCTGAAGAGGATTTAGGAGAACAGTGTTCCTTCATGACTGTTTTGTCTGGATCCGACGCGCATGACTGCGACCAAACGAGCAGCAATGGCCTCTGTACAATCATTGGAAAGTCTCCATACATTCTCATCACTGGCAGTGTATCTGCAAACTGTCAGGCCGTGCACGCCACACGATCTACATTTCTATGTCAACTTTTCTCAAGGTATGAGAATGTAAACAGCATCATTGGCCTTGCAGTGCCACTGCCCTATACGATTGACACGATCAATGATCAGAGATTGTGGCCACCCACTCAATTTTGTTTAATTTTAGGATAGTTCCAGTGGTTTTAGAGACAAAAGACAATCGGTATATTCTTGTACAACTTTTCAAAACCAAACAATTCGGATAACGCATGCAACCTATCCGGAAGCGTTGGAAGATACACAACATACTTTCTTACGACTTATGTCCCATGCGCCGAAGGGCTTCCATTTTGGGAAAAGTTTTTAAGCAGCAAAATTTGCTATGATAATGATTCGACCCGGTTCCATATGAGAACTATTTAAGAACATAATGATCTTTGATTGGCTAGCCACTCTCTGACCAAACGCCCATAATGCTTTTTGTCGCATTGCTGGAACAAATTATCCACCCAACTTGATCACTGGCAGCGTATCTGCAATCTGTTAGGCCAAACTTTCCAATGATTCACTTTTACGTCAACTTTTCTCAAGCTGTGCAACTGTAAACAACATCATTGGCCCGGCAGTGTGACTGCCCCGTGCCATTGACATGATGAATGCCGTATTCGAAACTGGTGGCCATCCATGCAACATCCTGTCATATAAAACTCAAATGTTGAAGCCATGTGATTAGTGGATCATATCCAGTAGAATCAACAAACAACTGTCAACATGGTTGGCCGCACAACGTTACGGATGTCCACTATCCAGACGCTATAGGAAGCAACTAGTGTTGCAACAAAATCTTCAAACAACTGCATCGCTGACTGTGCATCTGAACACCATAGGCCAAGCATGCAAAATCATTCATCTCTGAAAATCTCAACACCACCACTGGCTGAGTACGGATACTGCTCCATACAGTTAAGACAATCGATGCTATGTTGCAAACGGTGTGCCATCCATGTAAAATTCTATCACCCAAGCTAAAAAGTTAAAGTCATGTGATACGATGAATCGAATTTGGTAGAAAATGGTGAAGTGCTACAGATGCCTGTCATCCCAGGTCGACTGCAGCCAGAGGCAATCAGCCTTCATGACGTGCAGTACTGCGGGCTGTGACCAGGAGAGGGAATGCTTGTAAGGTCTGCATGATCTCCGAATCGGCACCTTCCACCCAGAACAAAGTGTCTGGCAATTTTCCCAGCCACATCTGTAAATCTTTAGGCGGAAATGCCTCTGAATACCGAACGAACTCTGCGTCTGGGCCTTTTTCACACTCCTGCTTCGTCACCCGATGCCTGTAGCCACATTGAAAACTGCCCAAGAGCGGTCGACAGCGCCACAGATTGCCACCGAGAATTAACTGGACCAAATTGCCATGCTCCCGGTGGATCTCCAGAGTGGGGCGTCGATAATCTGGCGGCACGAAATTCTTCAGCTGCAACAGTGGGTACGTCTTCTCTCCGATACTGCTATTCGGGAGATCGCTCTCAGATAGCCACGGGGCAATGTCAATGCTACTGGAATTGTGGTAGGTCAGAGAATTGGGCACACCCATGAACTCCGGAAGCCGAAATGCAAATGCAAAGAAATTTTCAAGTAGCGTCAAAGCTTGGTAGACATCGCCAGCCACAGTGAGACACTTCTGATATTCAGGCGGTCCGCCTGTCTTGCAAATGACAAAGAAGTCATCACGGAGCTGCGATTCGGTCAGGTTCTCTTCGGCCAAGTATCTTTCCCAACGAAGCTTGTGGCCACGAAGCAAAGGACTCTGGGTATCCTCACAGCACCACATCAGCCCAGTGCCCAGAAGCTCAACCGGAAAGGACTCTGCGAGAAGCTCAGCGGAACCAAGGTGAAAGAGGGCAACATGGACATGTAGCCCCTGTCGCGCTGACACGCCGTGACCAAGCAGGCCAGCCATCGGCGCCTGAACCCGTTGAGGCCGCAATGCCCGCTTTCTCGGCGACGTCGTGACCTTCCAATGCAAGCAAACTAGTGGGACCTATCATTCAGACACAGCACCACCTATGTTTTGTTCCGTTTAATACTCTATGGATCCGTCTGCTTCTCAAATAACCACTTCTAAGAAAGATCAACCATGCCTGAGGAACTCCTGGAGCAGTAGGCATGGATCCTGGAAGGTAGCACATTGACATACATATGGTAGCGTCCACCTACACCAGTCAACCTACACCAAATCGAGCCTAACACCGCGGGTGTTGTTGGCAAACGGGGTGCAACAAGGGCGGCCTTCCGCACCACAATGCACTGTTGAAAACATCATTCTCTGATTATCCATGCCAACATTGTCTAACCGACACCTCTTCGGCTGTCGGTGCCACAGAGGACGCAGGTACTGTAGGCAACGCCTCAAGAACAAAGCACCAAAGTCCATGGTCCATATTTTCGTCTAAAAGCACCGGGTGTTGTCTTGCATCCAAGTCAGAAGTACAAGCTCTATGCAACATACATGAACCAATGAGAAACATGCTTCCTCATATAACAAGTGGTAAGTACATACATCAAGCCTGGTGAAGTGATGGGGCAGCAGACACCGATCCTGGAACGTATCAAGCCGACAAATAAACAGTCCATGTAAAAATCGCACAATACAGCGCCTACCAAAGCAAGCACAGAAACAGGCAGTGTCAAACTACGCCAGTTAAATGACGGCAAACCGAGCCTAACCCCACAGGTGCTGCTGCGAGAGGGGCTGTGGCGACGGCTGCCTTCCAAACCACAATACAATGTTGAACCGCACATTCCGTGACTGCTCCTATGCCAGTGCTTCCAATGCAAGAAGAATGATTAGCGCTATCACTTAGAGTGGCGACGGCTGCCTTCCAAACCACAATACAATGTTGAACCGCACATTCTGTGACTGCTCCTATGCCAATGCTCCCAATGCAAGAAGACTGATTCGAGCTATCGCTCAGTGTTGGCAAACGGGCTGCAACGAGGGCGGCCTTCCGAAACATTATTCTCTGATTACTCCCGTGCTAGCATTTTCTAACTGACACCTCCGCAGTCGGCGCCACAGAAGATCCAGATACCGTAGGAAATGCCTCAACAACCAGACACCAAAGTCCATGATTTCGTTTTCGTACTGCATCCAAGTCAGAAATACGATCTCTATGTAACATCATCAAGCAATGAGAAACATGCTTTCTGGTATAAATGCCGATGTTTCCCACGCACACCTCTTCCACTGATGGTGCTACAGAGGATCCAGGTCCCGTAGACAACGCCTCAACAGCAACGCA